CCACGTGACCGCCGTCGCCATGGAAACCTTTGTTCCACTAGGCCCGCCATTTTACTTTATTTATTTACCCCCCCACACACACACCACCACCACTACGAGCACCCCCCCCCCCGCTCCAACTACCCCCCCCCCCTGGTCTACCTTTTTAATATATAAAGTGTCACGTTAATGTTGGTGAGAATTGCAATAAAGTGTGAGTGAGGAGGAGGAGGTGGGGGGGGGTGGTGGGGGTGTTTTAGGGACAACGGCAGTCGGGGGGGCGAGGTTCCCCCCCCCCCACGCCGCCTTGCTGGTTAATTGAACGTTGCCATGGTAACGGTTGAATAAAGTGTGTGCGTGCGTGTGGAGAGAGTGTGAGTTGTCTAATTGAAGTCCGCTCCAGCGCATGCAGCAGACGTTACTTTCACCCGACACCTGGGAACAATCTCGTCGTCATAATCATCCGTATCATTATCGATATCATCACCATCATCATGGTTGTTGACGTCAGCATCATCATCATCATCGACATCATCATAACAATCATCATCACCAGTTATTATCGCCATCATCGTCATCATCGTCGCTGTCATCATGATGGTTACTGTATTATAATAACCGTCATCAATGTCATCATTGACATCATCATGTAGGGTAATCATTATCAACATCATAATCATCATTCGCTTTGGGGGTCGATAAAACGCGTTTGGCGACCTCTGAGTGGAAGTCAACAGTAATTGCCCGTTCATGAAAGTTCTTGCTTTCTGTCATGGTACTGTGGAATGGTCCCGGCTGGTTCGGGGCCTGCAGAGGTCATCGCCACCTCTTGTGTTGCCTCCGATCCATTAAAAAACAACTGTCGACTCGAGTTCGACTCCCGGATACGGAAAACATCCCTTGCAAGTGACATCAGCACCGGCCCTGGAGTGGCCCACCCATTCATTCTTAAGCTTCAAACCAAGATTGGCCCATCCTCCTTCACCCACCCGCATTGACCAGCGTGGTGAAGTATGGTAATTTTTTTCTTTTTTAAATACATCGGTGGATCAAGCATGGCCGGAATCTGTGATGTTGTTTTTGGCGAGTGTAGCCATTCCACGTCCCAGGTCTCCTCCTTTACGCACGAAACGTTCTCCCGTTTTCGTTGCCCTCTGCGGTCCTCGGTGTCAAGCCCCAATTACAACGGTGGGAGTGATTAAGGGGGTTCGTATGGACCCCTTTTGTAATTAACCCAAAGTAGTGGTCTCGCGTGCATGCCGTGGAGGGGAGGGGAGGTTGTATAATTTCCCTAATAAGCGTCGTTTTCTAATTATATTCAAATAATTAATACGTCCTTCACGTGGCTTAATTAGGTCGGCTCCGTCCCGATCTCCCACCCAGAGCCGCACCCCACCCCGAACTCCCTCCGCGCGTCTCGTCCTCGACACATCGCAGGGCAGCAGAGAGGTCGCGACGTCTCACAGCGATCAACATTTGTTTTGTTTACAACGCACGGTGGGTGGGGTATAGGGGGGAGTGGAGAGAGAGGGGGGGGCGTTTGACCATACTTCACCACTACGGTCAGTGAACGATCAGGTGGTAGGGAGCACGCGATGTTGTCACGTCTCCTTCAGCCGAGTGCCCAATTGTGTGTGCGCGTGTGTCGAACTTCTTTCGCACCGTATACGTGGCCAACACGTGGTGCTCAGCCGAGGTGCGGCACCGATTGGTTGTGGTTGCCCCCCCCCCCCCTATAGGCAGAGTTTGACTTCTTTATTTGGGGGGGTGGGCCTGGGAAGGGGGTTAGAAATCTCGTGCGCATATAATTAATTAATTAAATCTTTTTCGACTTAAAGATTTCGTGACTGCAGGGACACGAAAGCTTTTAAATCAAAATGCCAGATGTTCATCGACAAGGACTGGTTTTGACTTTCAGTGCCTCATCAGCAGAGTCAGGCTTCGCTGGAACCATCGCCGTTGAACCTCTCGATGCCAGAGTAATTGTGCTTGGGGCAGGACACGCAGAGAGCAGGGGCGATGGTGGCCGAGACTAACCACGGAGCGGCAGCCAAAGGTGAGAGTCACGCCAAAGATTGCACGCGTCGTGGAGATGGAGCGACGAAATCACCTCGTGTGCAGGAGCAAGATGGACTTCAGTTACATCGCGAGACGATCAGGGAAGGCTGACGACCTTTGGGGTGAGGGAGGTATTAAGTCCAGCAGTGGATAGACCAAGACCGATAAAACTGATGTGACATCGTTGTGGAGAATATAAATGCTTGCTTGGCAGGGATTTTAAGAGAGGGGGGACTATAATGGGGGAGGCGTTGCCGTGAGTTACAGACATCTGGGACAGCAGGGGAGAAGGAGCGACCACCCGCCGGGGGAAGGCTGAGTAAATGAAAGCGCTGCAGCAATAATAAGTGATGGTGACTGTTGAGGTTGGCAGGAGGCCTCGGTTGCCGGAGCGGAGGGCACGGGAAAGGGGAGTGGAGCGAGATGAGAGAGGCAGGAGAGTGCGTGGAGGAAAGTAGAGCGAGATGGGAGGGGAGAGGCAGGAGAGTGCGTGGAGGGGAGCAAAGTGAGATGAGAGGTAGGAGAGTACGTGGAGGGGAGTAGTGAGATGAAAGGGGAGAGGTAGCAGAGTGCGTGGAGGGGAGCAAAGTGAGATGGGAGGTGAGAGGCAGGAGAGTGCGTGGAGGGGAGTAAAGTGAGATGAGGCAGGAGAGTGCGTGGAGGGGAGTAAAGTGAGATGAGGTAGGAGAGTGCGTGGAGGGGAGTAGAGTGAGATGAGGGGAGAGGCAGGAGAGTGCGTGGAGCGGAGTAGTGAGATGAAAGGGGAGAGGTAGGAGAGTACGTGGAGGGGAGCAAAGTGAGATGGGAGGTGAGAGGCAAGAGAGTTTGTGGAGGGTAGTGAGATGAAAGGGGAGAAGTAGGAGAGTGCGTGGAGGGGAGTAGAGTGAGATGAGAGGGGAGAGGCAGGAGAGTGCATGGAGTGGAGTAGAGTGAGATGAGAGGCAGGAGAGTGCGTGGAGGGGAGTAGAGTGAGATGGGAGGGGAGAAGCAAGAGAGTGCGTGGAGGGGAGTAGAGTGAGATGGGAGGGGAGAGGCAGGAGAGTGCGTGGAGGGGAGTAGAGTGAGATGGGAGGGGAGAGGCAGGAGAGTGCGTGGAGCGGAGCAAAGTGAGATGGGAGGTGAGAAGCAAGTGTGTGGAGGGCAGTAGTGAGATGAGAGGGGAGAGGTAGGAGAGTGCGTGGAGGGGAGTGGAGTGAGATGAGTGGAGAGGCAGGAGAGTGCGTGGAGGGGAGTAGAGGGAGATGAGAGGTAGGAGAGTGCGTGGAGGGGAGTAGAGCGAGACGTCTTATTATCCGGAGAACACGGTGGTGCGTGAGTGTACACTCTTTGTAATGTAAGTCGCTTACCAGGGTGCCACTCAGCATACACATGGGAGTCGAGAAGTCGCAGTCCTCTGGGATATCACTCTCCTCTCAATTGTGTTACTTGTTGTGTAAAAGAATCCCGTTCTCCTTTGATCATATCCACAGGGGGCTCAGGATCTCCACCTCATTAACTCCTCTGCATCTATGACTAATACCGTGACTGTGTGTGAATTGACTGTGATGATCCACTGCATCGCGCGCTCTTCCTGCCGATATTAGGAAACTGCTGGAGCTATGCATTTTTAAATCTAGATTTAAAACTTTCTTCTTTCGAACTGCTTTTTTATGTTTAGTTTGTTGACCTTTCCCCGCATCTCTGAAAAACACGGTTGGCTACGGACGGTGCAAAAAAAGTCCAACATACATACACACGTCAGAATATTTATTTATCCTGGAGAAATCCGATGAGCTATGAAGTTCTTTTCGCAGCTTTAAACTCGCAGTTGCTTCAGTTTTAACACGAAAACGAATAAAAGCAGAGGGTGTGGATCTTGAATGTAACAAACTCAAACCCTATACAGTACGCTGGTATATAATTGTATACACGTGCAGTGAGTGTTTACTTTTCCTATACAGTACTTTGCACTCCTCTGTTTTAGCATTTTTGTTGTTGTTGTAACCTTCTGACCCGCCCCAACTGGACATCTGTGAAAAGAGCTTCATGGCTCATCGGATTCTTCCAGTCTAAATAAAGATTCTGGTCGTGTAGATTTCACGCACTGCTGCTGTTGCTGCTATGGCAACATAGCTTAGGGAACATTTATACACCGCTGTGCAATGCATTCGAATAAGATTGCGAAACTCATCTTATGCACAAATTGCACTTTATTGCCATTAAAATATCGTGTTTATATATTAAATCATTTTTTTTTACCTATGGTAAATTCACTAAATAACATAAAGAGAACGTGGTTGGTGTGAAAGTATAACGGCATTTTTTTGTCCACATTCGGACAATGAAATAAGACAAAACACAATTTCAAAAAAATCCGACCGGCACGGATTCTCTTGACGCTTGACTCAACGCGTGTCCCCCCCCCCGTGGCAGCGGCGTCTTTAATCGGCGTTCAAGACGGCGGCGTCCGCGCAAGGCGCCCGAAGATGACAACGGGGGGGGCGAAAGGGATGGGTGGGGGGGGGCGAAGGGGGTGGGTAGGGGGGGGCGAAGGGGATGGGTAGGGGGGGGCGAAGAGAGTGGGGTGCGCATAGCCTGGCAAAGCTGGGATGCCGGAACGAACTCGTCGTAGCGCTGTTTTATTTATATTTGCCTCCAGATTTTGGCCAAGCGTTTGAGAGGTTGTGGCTGGTGTTCGATAGGACGGCAAGATCACATCGTGCCAAAGTTTGGTTCGTGTTGGATCGCCTTTAGATGTTGACTCGCCTGGTTCACAGGAGGTCGTGGGTTCGATCCCGACCCTGCTGCTGTATATTTGTAGTTTGCATGAAAATGTCGCCGGGTTCCCCGGTGTTTCCCTCCACATTTAAAATTCACCTGCGTTCGGTTTCTACAGGGTGACCCAAAAAAAACGGGCCCCGTGCCTATTAGAATTATTAGAGTTGGGGCCCGTTTTTTTTGGGTCACCCTGTATAAATGTCCACGTGATGATGATAAGCCACTTCGTTGAGCTATCATTAGTGATAGCCAGGTCGCTTCTGAATAAGAGCTACATAGCTGAGTTGACCTTATCTGGTAAAAAATGTTTCATAAACGCTTTCAACCGTAGCAGAGCATGGTGCTGGACAGCACTCAGCTTGACTTGCACTCACCCGGCCTTACACGTGAACGTGTACAGCCCTTTTGGCAGTCGACTGCTGGATGAGGTCCTGCCTTCACGTACCGTGCCGGTCGTACGGGTTGTTTAGCCATACTTCACCACGCCGGTCATTGCAGGTTGGTGAAGGTGGGAGGAGGCAAAGGAGTAAGGGCATAAAAGCACGAAACAACACTTCACTCCCCTCTGCTCCCCACTACGTGTAGCCCCGCAGCAGCCTATAACAACCTGTTATGCATGGTGGTTGCTCATCCGAGTACTTTCTATGCTCAGCCCTGCGTAGTTCCACGAAATTTACATCGGGTATTCATGAACTCTTGGAAGTGCTTGCACAAAGGATAGTAACATCTCATCCTGTGTTCTTGGAATCTGGGTGGTTTGGTCGTAGGCTTAACACAGATTCATATTTTTTCCTTTTTTTCTCCCCCCCCCCCCCCCCCCCCGTCTTTGATGGCCTCACAGTCTAAACTATAAAGTGTGATCACTGCTCCCTCTCGCTCTCTGATCTGAAGAAGGGCCATTTCCTGAAACGTCAGGCTACTATAGCAGTTCTCAATCGGTGTAATTGCCACTTAGAGCGCAGTCTGAGGCATGGATACCGCGCAGGATAAATTTCGAATGTCACCACAACGTGGCATCGACGTCGCGGTGACAGACCCACACTGATACGCGACACGGACACGTGATCTCTCTGTGTCTGGTGGCCTTAGCAACACTGAGGTGGGGGGGGGGGTGAAGGGCGGGGGGGGGACGCGCGAGGACGAGTCAGTCTTGATTTGGCGGCTGCCGTACGATGAAAGGTTGAGAACCACTGGGCTTTTATATTGATCCGTCATCCTCATCCTCTTATTTTTCTTCTTTCTGGAATTACCGTCCATGCACCTCACGTGAATCTGCCTTCCCGGTCCTCAGTCCATATCCACTCATTCGCGCCTTGGACTACAATCATCATCACCATCATCATCAATCTCCACATCCACAGCCCAGAGTCTGTCTCTCTCCAGTATTACCCCGCTCCGAACAACGCTGTCTAACGGTGATCTGCGCTCCCGGTGCCTCTCTACGTTTGTGACATTTCTTGGATTTCCTCTCCTCTGACGAACCAAGTGCTCGCTGTCCTGTCGACTGTTTTAAGGCAGCGTAAGTGATGCTAGTCTTGGAGTGCTATTGTTTTTTTTGTTGGTGGGGGTGTTTAATGTAAAAAAAACTGTAAAGATGCAGCCCCTGCAATCGCTTGCTCACGCCACTGCCGATGGTAGCGCCTCCACTATGAACAAATATCTCGGAGAAGGTGGGAGAGTTACCCACACTTCACCCCACCACACACGACCTCTGGTTCTTGCTCACGTATATCTGTGCTCAAACCATTACGCAGCGGCAGCATACTGTGCCTGGCGAATGTAACGTTGAAGCGTTTACTAGAGGAGTGTATCAACATTTCTCCACACCTCATGAATCACTTTGACAAGTCCTTGAACGCCTGGGAAAAAACCTCTACAATTTCAAACTTTGGAATTTAAAAGCTGTTGTTGTTAATGGTGTTGGTCTTGGTGGTGGTGTTGTTTTTTGCTTGTAGAGGGCACAGCCAATCATCTCAATCAATCAATTCATAGCACCTGGGTCTGTCCCTTGACCTCCTCCTTCGACACTTCACGTAGCCTCAAACGTGCACCTGGCCTGGCACAGACGCCGTGGTGATGTCACCGCCACTTAGTGGCGAATGGCGGCTGTTGTTGTTTGTTGCTCTTAAAAAAAAAAATCCCGTTATCGATGAAATATAAAGAAGCCTTGCCATAATTCAGTCTACGCAGTCACCTCCTCCCAACGAGGCTCACTTCCCGCCCGGCTTGTGCAGCTTGTAGAGTCTCGGAGCCCTGCAGGAAGAAGCCACAGCAGCGCTCACCATGTTGTGATGAGAACGGCTGTCACACGAGTGACCTGAGGTCATGCTCCTCTCTGTGGTTGTGCTGCTGGTTTTTTTGCTGCAATGGATGCTGGTGATCTACTGTAGCTGGTTAATAACGAAGCCGGTGCATCTTGCTGATGCTAATGCTGGTGGTGGTGATTATGACGACGATGATCTTGAGGCCGAGGCTGCTTCTGCTGCTGGTACTGATAAGTCTCTCGCTGCTTCTGCTACTGCTTCCGCTGATGATAACTGATGCCGCTGCTGCTGCTTCCCCTGCTGCTGCTGCCACCGTCACTGTCACTACTGCTGCGTTTGCTGACGTTACCACTGATGCTTCCTGTGCTTCTGCTGATGCTGCTTCTGTATGTTGAACTTCTTTCGCACCGTACGTAGCCAACCGTGCTAATCGGAGGTGCGGGTGCTTCAATTGATGCTCCCAGTGTTTCTGCTGCTGCTGCTGGTGATGTTTCCACCTCCACCGTAGCTGCCGCTAGCCCTGTGCTCCTCACACCTGGTAGTAGACGGAGGCGGCGTGCTGTCTCGCCAGGTCGGGCACGATGTACAGGGGCAGTCCGTAGTCTCCAGACACCTTCCCGTAGTGCGGGCACGGGGCTCCCGCCCCTCCACACGGGGAACCGCCGGGCGCCACCGCTCCTCCGCCACCTCCACCCCCACCGCCGCCACGCACACCCCCATCCTCCTCCGTCTCCTCCTCAGCCTCATTCTCGTCGTCCCCCCCTCCTCCTGCTCGTGCCCCAGACCTGGCCCTTCTTCTGCTGCTGCCGCTGCTGTCCTGACGGCATCCTGGCAGAGAGGAGGGAGGGCTTTTAGGGCCGGGCTGATTAATTTTTTTAAAGTATGTTTTTATTTCACCAGGAAGGCCCACTGAGCTATGTAGCTTCTTTTTGAGAAGCGACCTGAACATCACAAATAGGAGCTCAACGAGGTGGACTCATCACGTGGAAATGTACAGCAGCCATATACTCTAAACGCGTGATGTTGATTCTAAATGTGGCGGGAAAAACCGGAGGACCCGGAGAAAAATCCACATAACCGCAGGGCGAACACACAAACTCCAAATATACAGCAGGCGTCAGGGTTGGGATAAAGCCCACGACATTCTGTATACCGGGCGAGGTAGTTCAGATATCTCCACTGCTGCAGGACATTTGTACTGCCTTGGATGTGTCCTACATTGTATTTGGAGGCAGCGGTATCCTAGTGGTTTGTGCCCTTGGCTACAACCTCGGTAGCCTCGATTCGACTCATGGCCACGGTGCTATTTTTATCTGAACCCACAATGGTCTTCCTCTTGGTCGACTCAGACACAAGTTCGATCGAGTTTGTTGTTGTTTTGTATTAAACCGGGTCCAGCCATCATCAGCCATGCTCTATCCACGGTTCGATGAAGCTCTCACCAAGCCATCGCCATCTCTCGCGGTACACAGGAACGTGGAATGTCCCCTACCGCAGGTAACAGCCAGTAGTTGTGTGCGTGGGGTGACTGCGCCTCGTCTTGGGAACGTGGAATGTCCACCTCTGTGTACCTGTGCTCTGGGGCGCCCGGTGCCGGCGGAGGCGGGGCCACGTGATCGAGAGTCCAACGAATGAGATTAGCAGGACGAGGGCGGAGCCTGCAGCCAGCCAGCCAATCAGCAGCGGGCCGGGGTAGGCTGGGTGCGGGACTTGAGCCGTGCTGGTGACGTCACGCAAGTCTGTGACGACGTCACAACGGTGAGTGATGCATGCGGTGACGCTGCACGTGGGGGGGTTAATCGGCCATACTTCACCACGCTGGGCAGTGAGAGCAGATGGAGAGCATAAACATTGGAGCGTGTTACGGTACAACAATGTTTTGTGATTGCACTGCCCCCCTCGGAACAACGTAGCTCCACAGCAGCCTATAGCACCTGCTGTACGCGTGGCGGTACCGCCCATCCAAGCACAGAGCAGGCTCAAACCCGCTTAGCTTTCGAGAGCCCAGTGATTTGATTATTCTCCAATCAGGTTCATTCAGATCACAATCCTCGTCACCATCATCATCGTCATCATGTACACCCGGCCACCTCGTTTATACTGCGTGTTAATAAAATACCCGGTGATTATTTTACTCAGTCTGGGTCAGTCAGACTCTATCCACTGCTGGCCTGGTGAGAGCAGGCGACGTTGGCCACCAACCTGAAGCGTTCCAGTCACGTGACTTCCCCTGTGTCGGATCAGAAGTCATCGCCCTCCCGTGATGCCGTGTGGTTTTCCCATCTTGCCACGCTGCTCCTCCCATAATGCCTCGGGCTCGTTCCTCGTCACGTGGGTCTGACGAGGAGAAGGAAGAGGAGGAAGATAGGGAGAGAGGGTGGTGATGGCGAAGAAAATGATGGCTGATGGTGGCAATCATGATGGTAATTGATGGACCATGGTGACGATAATGGGGTGAAGATATGATGAAGATGTGATGATGATGGGGATGTGGGTGACGCGATGTTGGGTTGATATCACGAAAATAGTGTAAATGATGGTGGTGTTGCTTATGTGTTTAGTATGTTGTCCTTCCCCCGCACATCCGATTAACACAGTTGGCTACGTACGGTGCAAAAGAAGTGCAATATACAAACCTATTTTTTATTTGAGCAGGTAACGCCCACTAAACTATATGGCTTTTTTTCAGAAGCGACCTGGCCACAAATGATAGCTCAGCGAAGCGGCGTATCACGTGGAAATTTAGAGCAGCCAAATACTCTAAACGCGTGTTTCTAAATGTGGAGAGGAAAATCGGGGTACCTGGAGAAAAATCCACGCGACCACGGGAAGAGAGAACATGCAAACTCAGTACATACATGGTGTTGGTTAAGATGATGGTTGTCATGTGATGATGATGATGTGGGTGACGCAATGCTGGGTTGATGTGATGATGATAATGATGATAGTGACGATGTTGATGATGATGACGGTGGTGATGATGTTGGGTACCTAGCCCCACCCTCAGCACGAGCCTCATGCCGTGCGTGGCGCAGGCGCCTCCCACGCGCCCGGACAGTCCCTCCCATGTGCCGTCCGATGTGGCTACACACAGCAACATCAACATTATCATCATCAGCATCATCATCGGCATCATCATCGGCGTCATTAGCAGCAGCATCAACAGCAACATAGGCAGCAATATCACCATCAACAGCAGAAGCATCATCAGCATCATCATCTGCAGTATCATAAATAGTAACGTCACAAGCAGCATCATCAACATCGGTAATATCAGCAGTATCATAACTAGCTTCAGCAGCGGTAACATTAGCAATATCGTCAGCAGCAGCACCATCACCATTTATCACCAGCATCATTATCATAATCAACAGACACAACAGTAGCAGCATGACCATCAGTAACTTCATCATCAGCATCTGCACACATCATCATCACTGCGGTGTACACTCACATATGATGTGGTACTCCCTCTTCGGCGCAAACTCGAGTCCGCGGTAGTTGGGACTCACGCGCTGCACCTGGGTGGACGACACGCAGAGGCACACCTAGCACCGTATCTCATGCAGACGAGGGGGGACGCCATCCCTCCTCCCATCCAGCAGTGGAGTGATTCCGCGCCCACCCCCCGGTGCCACCGTTGCCCACCTTGAGCGTGTACTTGAGTGCGCGCGCCGGGCGGTCGCACGCGAGCACGAGGCGAGAGTTGCGAGCGCCGGGGGGCGCCTCGCAGCGCACGCTCGAGTCTCGCGAGACCAGGTAGAGGCGGTGGAACTCGGCGGGACCCGGGCCGAGACCCTGACCCGAATCGGGACCCGGGCCAGTGCCGTGACCGAGAATGGGTCGAGAACCTGGTCCAAAACCACCACCAGCAGCAGCAACAGCAGCACCCAGATCCAAGGACAGATCCAGACCCAAATCGGAACCAGGCACGTGACCCCAGTTTGGACCGGGACCAGAAGCCAGGGCTGGAATGGCACCGGGACTTGGTCCGGATCTCTGAGCAGGGCCGGTGCTCAGATCCAGATCCAGGTTTACACCCAGACCAGGACTGGGACCGAACCCCAGACCTGGACCCGTACCCAGGCCAGGACCCGAACCCACTCCCAGACCCGGTCCCGAGCCTGGACCAGGTCCCGAAGCCACGGCTGGATCCATGCCAAGGAATGGACCAGGTCCCATACCGAGATCTGGACCTGGACCTGTGCCAAAATCCGGACTCGGACCAAAACCCAGACCCAGTCCCAAACCGGACCCAGAATCCGCTACGGCCGAGTCGCTCCACTGCGGCCACTGCCTCCGTGGCAGCGATGCGGATGACTGAGAAGATGACGACGATGATGACGATGATGAGAACGGTGATGATGACATCACGGGGCAGATGAGGTCGATGCGGTCTCCCATCTGCGGGTAGAGGATCACCCCGTGGCTGCCCGGGTAGAACCTGCATGGGGTTTGGGCAGGGGTGGGGGGTAGGAGAGCGATTAACTGTGATTGTAGTTGTATGTTGAACTTATTTTGCACCGTACGTAGCCAACCGTGCTAATCGGAGGTGCAACAAACTAATCACAAAAAGCAAGTCTAAACCATTTAGTTTCAATCTATATTTGAAAGCGCATAGCGTTCCAAATGGCCGCAGAAGCGCATCTGAAAGCGCCGCGCGACGACGCGGTGGCCGTCTTTGTTCGATGGTTTAGCAAAAAGCCGCTGCTGCTGCTTGCGAGGATGAGCGGAGTTCGCGTGATGATGGTTTATGCTCCTTGACGAGATCAGCGCCGTGTTGTGGCTCATTTGTGGTCAGCACTTTGTGTGTAATTGGTGCCACCTTGTAATGCAGAAAATATCGTCACGTGTCTGGTCACGTGTGGTTGACTGTGGTTGCATGAGGTTGTGTGAAGCTTCTTCTTGGTTCTTTCGGTAAAGTCACGTAGAAGGGAAATAATAAAATAATAAGAATCAAACATAATAAAATTAAATTCTCACGACGTTTCGGCCACAACGCAAGCAGCCGTCCTCAGGTGAAGAACAGGTCTGTCGGAAAGACAGCGTCTGTGAAGCTTATCAAAGTTCAATATGTTTTGCATGCGACTGATTATGATTGTGTCGTTGTAGTTGGCCGATTGTGTGGTTGTGCGGTTGTAGTTTATTAAGGTTCCGTATTACGTAGGTAAATGCGTGCGGTTGACTGGTTGCTTGTAGTTGCGCCTGATTGCGTGCAGTTGCGTCTGGTTGCGCGTGGTTGACGATAGTTGTGTGGAGTTGCGTGCGGCTGACTAGCTCCGCAAGGTTGCGTGTGGATCACAGGTTGCCTGTAATGAAGCGTGGTTGCGTGCAGCCGCCTAGTTGCGTGCGGTTGACCGGTTGCCCGCAGTTGCGCGTGATTGCGTGCGGTTGATTGGTTGTGTGTGGTTGTTGCGCGTGGTTGTGTGTGGTAGTGGTTGCACGTGGTTGTTGCATGTGGTTGCGCGTAGTTGTTGCACGTGGTTGCGCGTAGTTGTTGCACGTGGTTGCGCGTAGTTGTTGCGCGTGGTTGTGTGTGGTTGTTGCGCGTGGTTGTGTGTGGTTGTTGCGCGTGGTTGTGTGGTTGTTGCGCGTGGTTGTGTGTGGTTGTTGCGCGTGGTTGTGTGTGGTTGTTGCGCGTGGTTGTGTGTGGTTGTTGCGCGTGGTTGTGTGTGGTTGTTGCGCGTGGTTGTGTGTGGTTGTTGCGCGTGGTTGTGTGTGGTTGTTGCGCGTGGTTGTGTGGTAGTGGTTGCGCGTAGTTGTTGCACGTGGTTGTGTGGTTGTTGCGCGTGGTTGTGTGTAGTTGTTGCACGTGGTTGTGTGTAGTTGTTGCACGTGGTTGTTGTGTATGGTAGTGGTTGTTGCGTATGGTAGTGGTAGTTGTGTATGGTAGTGGTAGTTGTGTATGGTAGTGGTAGTTGTGTATGGTAGTGGTAGTTGTGTGTGGTAGTGGTAGTTGTGTGTGGTAGTTGTGTGTGGTAGTGGTTGTTGCACGTGGTGGTTGTTGTTGTGGTGGTTGCTCACCGCGGGTCCCGCGTGCTCCAGTGAACGCGCTCGACGAGGGAGGCGCCCGCCGCCGCCGCCGCGAGGCACGTGGCGACCACCACGAGCCACAACATCCCGCAACAACCACAACAACAACCACCACTACCACAACACCACTACCACAACACTACCACCACCACAACACCACCACAAAACCACCACAACCCTACCACCACCACAACACTACCACCACAACTACAACCACCACAACTACAACCACCACAACACTACCACCACAACACCATCACCACGACAACCACAACTACCACCACACTACCACCACAACACTACCACCACAACAACCACTACAACTACACCACGACAACCACCACAACAACACCACCACAACAACCACCACCACTACAACACGAGACGAACCCGAACCGCCATCCCGCGATCACGACACAACCACCAGCAGAGGAGAGAGAACCAACAACAACAAATCTCCACGCTCAAACAACAACAACAACAACCATCTACAACCACCACCTCCGATTAACGCGGTTGGCTACGTACGGTGCGAAAGAAGTTCAAAGTACATGGGCACACACGCGTGCGACGACGAATGTTTACATGGTACAAGGCAGGAAAGCGTGTAATAGTAAACACAAAGTTACACACAGGCATAGAGTGATTGAGAAGGAGCGATCAGAGTCTTGCGACAGACGAGAGGAAGCTGCGACTCCACTTTCTCCTCAGAATTTCACATTTAAAATCAAATAAACAAAAAAATCCCGCCGACAAAGTAATAACTAACGAGAAGTGGTAGGACTGATAATAACAGATTTCTTTACGCGTGTAAAAAATAATAATACAATTTTCGTACGGTTGCTAAAAAAAGAAAAACTAGAAAATATATTTGTTAATTTTGGTGAGTTTTACAATTAGATGAAGAAAAACAAGGTAATATACAGTAGAGGATAATGAGATGCGTTGGTATTTCCTACATTTTTTACGTATTATACACATATATATTAAAATCGTTATGAATATGTTTAAGTGGAGGTGAAGCGCTCTTTTGTTTTGGCGGGAAGAAGAAGAAGAAGAAACGACCCCCGAGGCGGAGCGCGCGGAGCCGCAAGGCGCGAGACGGCGACTGAGCGCGCGCTCGCGGCTCCCGCCAACTTATCCCCCCCTCACCCCTCCCCTCATCCCCCACCCCTCCCCTCATCCCCCCCTCACACCCCCCCTCATCCCCCCCTCACCCCTCCCCTCATCCCCCACCCCTCCCCTCATCCCCCCCCTCACCCCCCCTCACCCCTCCCCTCATCCCTCCCCTCACCCGCCACCCCTCCCCTCAACCCCCCCTCAACCCCCCTCCCCCCCCTCACACCCCCCCCTCAACCCCCCTCCCCTCCCCTCATCCCCACCCCTCCCCTCATCCCCCCCCACCCCTCATTCACACCCCCCCTCATCCCCCCCCCACTATCACCACCCTCCTACCAGCAGCACCACCACCAACCACAATACCCACCCACCCACCCCACCCTTATCATCGCCCTATCACCACTCTCCTACCACCACCATCCACAACGTCCCCCACCCCAACCGTATCATTATCCTATCCCCACCTTCCTACCACAACCACCCCTAATCACCACCCTCCTACCAGCACCACCACCACCAACCACCAACCACAATACCCACCCACTCACCCCACCCTTATCATCGCCCTATCACCACTCTCCTACCACCACCCAACCACCATCCACCACGTCCCCCACCCCAACCGTATCATTATCCTATCACCACCTTCCTACCACAACCACCCCTAATCACCACCCTCCTACTAGCACCACCAACCACAACCACCAACCACAATACCCACCCACTCACCCCACCCTTATCATCGCCCTATCACCACTCTCCTACCACCACCCAACCACCATCCACAACGTCCCCCACCCCAACCGTATCATTATCCTATCACCACCTTCCTACCACAACAGCCACCAACCACAACTAGAATACCCCCCCCCCCACCTTATCAACTTAGCACCACCCTCTTCCTACCACCACCACCATCACCCCGACCATTATACCACAATCACTCTCCTTGTCATTACCACATCCACCAAACACTCCACCACCAACCCCCTCCATAATTATTTGACCACCATCTCTATCAGCCACAATCAATCACACACTCACCCCCCGATCAGTATCACATCCAGCACCACCACTGAAACCACCACCTACCACACACCACAACGACCTGACACCACGACCACGTCACACAACCACCTCTGTTACCTCACATAGTCAGTCCTCACTTGAGGAGGATTATTTTGACACGGCTCAGAAGATACATCGTTATTTTCTCATACATTCTGATGTTTCTCCCTTCTAACATATTCAGAATTTAAATTTTCCCTTCACTCCCTCTCACCCCCATCGAACCCTCCATCCACTCCACTCCCTTACCTCTTCCCTCACCTCTCTTCCCTCTCACCTGCTGCCCCATCCTCCCCCCCTCGTCATCTCCTCTCCCTCACGCCCCTCTCACCCTCATTCATCTCCGTCTCCCTCTTGTTTTACGGTCAGAGGAAACAAGAAGATGATCGGTGTAGTCGGCACTTTGCTTCGTTCATCATTTCGTTTTTTTTAATGCTCTGCTTTATGTTAACCCCCAAATCCCCCTTTTTTAAATGAAAGATTTCACAAAAGATTTCACGCTCTGCTCTCCTTACCCCCTTCCCTCTCTCTACCCCCTCTCTCTTTACCCCCTCTCTCTCTATACCCCCCTCTCTCTACCCCCTCTCTCGCTACCCCCTCTCTCTACCCCCTGTCTCTCTATACTCTCTCTCTATCCCCTCTCTCTCTACCCCCTCTTTCTACCCCCTCTCTCTCTACCCCCTCTCTCTACCCCCCTCTCTCTCTACCCACTCTCTCTACCCCCTCTTACTACCCCCTCTCTCTCTACCCCCTCTCTCTACCCCCTCTCTCTACCCCCTCTCTCTCTACCCCCTCTCTCTATCCCCCTCTCTCTCTACCCCCTGTGTCTCTCTACCCCCCTCTCTCTCTACCCCCCTCTCTCTACCCCCTCTCTCTCTACCCCCCTCTCTCCCTACTCCATGTCTTCAACCCCACGTCCCCCCACCCCCCACAGCTTCTCATTCTCCCGTCCATCTCTCGCCTCGTCTCCCGCCCCCCCACCCACCACCGTCTCCCCTCCCTCTCTCCTCCTCTCCCCCACGCTCTCTGTGAGTCTCCAGAGAGCTGTACCCCCGAGTCCCTTTGTCTCTTTGAAGAGAGAAACCGCGAGTGGCGCGTGGCGTTAGAGAGGAGGGAGAGGGGGGGAGAGCACTGTGTGTGTGAGAATACAGGGGGAACATAGACATAGCGTAGGGAGAGAGGGGGTAGAGAGAGAGAGGGGGTAGAGAGAGAGAGAGAAGGAGGAGAGCAGAGCGTGAAGTCTTTTGTGAAATCTTTCATTTTAAAAGGGGGGGCACATAAGGCAAAGCATTAAAAAAACTAAATGATGAACGAAGCAAGTGCCGACTTCACCGAGCATCTTCTTGTTTCCTCTGATCGTAGAAAAGAGAGAGATAAAGTTTGAGAGAGGCTTATATAGTAAGATGCAGAGTGAGAGGAGACAAAGCGAGGAAACAGAGAGTAAGAGAGAGGGTGTACATCAAGAGAGAGTGCTTAGAATGAGTGACCGTCAGGGGAAAGGGAGAGAAACGGGAGAGTGCTGCGTGAGAGAGGTATGGGTGAGCGCGAGAGAAAGGGAGAGATACAATATTAGAGGGAGCAGAGAGATGCAGGAGAGAGAGGAGTGAGTGAGTGTGAGAGAGGCAGGTGAGATGCATGTGAGAGCGTGACGCAGAGAGAGTGAGAGAGAGAGAGGCATGGCTGAGTGCGAGAGAAAGGGAGAGATAACGAGAGAGAGTTAGATGGAGAAGGGAGATGCAGGAGAGAGAGGAGTGAGAGGAGTGAGTGTGAGACAGCACGAAGAGATGCAGGTGAGAGCGTGACGCAGGGAGAGTGCGTGTGTGACGACGTGGACAGATTACCGTTATACAACAGTGGACATTGTTGTTACCACGGCTGTTGTTGTTGTTGTTTAGGTTTGGGGTTTTATTTGACCTCGGTTATAGGTGGAAGGTCACACACAGCTTTGATCCAATGCGATGGGTCGCTGTTTTATTCCGGTCACAGCGAGGCGGCGGATTCAACTCGATTTAGTCCTGGAACTCACTCCTCTGACATGTCAAAAACACTCATTACGTTCGCTAATAAAACTAAACAACTATTTTTTTAATGTTATTTTACCAGGCAAGGCCTCCCTGAGCTATATAGTAGCGTTCTTCAGAAGCGACCTGCCCATCACAAATGATAGCTCAACAAAGCGGCTTATCATCACGTAGAAATGTATAGCAGCCAAATACCCTGAACGCGTGATGTTCATTACTAATGTGGACCCGGAGAAAAATCCACGCGACCACAGGGGAAAAGACACCGCAAACTCCACATATACAGGCGTCAGGGTCGGGATCGAACCCACTGTGCGTGGCCGTAAAATGAAAAATAAATAACAGACAACGTTTCGGCCAATGTTCCTTCTTCATAACACAAACATATCGAGGGCCAGAGAGATCCAGGGTCTCTCTCGTTACACAATTGGTAGCTATTGAGTCACAGACAACCCCTTCGATTATAATCAGACAAAGGACCACGGTTAGATAATACACTAATTTACATGATTATAAAACAACTAATGTTGACGGCGCATTGATTTGTGGGAAGAGGTGCGTCCTGGTGAGGGAAAGGCGCAAAGCCACCTGGCAGTGCGTGCGTGCCTGGGCCCAAGTGACGTCTCACAGACGGACCAAGGACGTTCATAAGAACGTCTCCAAGCATCATGGGTGGAAAAACCCCGATTTTTCCAACGGCAGGCATCGGGTTTTTTCTTTAATACAATTAAACCCGATTTCGGTGAATTAAAACCTGGTTTAATGAATACGAAACTCTGAGCCAAGGCTTAGGCTGCTTCCTCGTCGGTGCTGCTATCGTACTCGGGGGGGGGGGGGCGTCGGGCACGGGGTCGTCGTAGAATGCGACGGGCAGGTTGGTCTTGATGAACACGAGCTTCTCCTCCACAGTCGTGGGCGCCAGTAAGTTCCTTCGCTTGGAATGGATGAAGCCCATCGCTGAGAAGTGCGGTTCTGCAACTAGAACCAATTAAACCGGATTTCTCCCAATCTCAGATGATCGGGTTTAATATAAAAAGACAATTAAACCCGATTGTAGAAAACCCGCCTGTGCCACCCTTGCCAGGCATCACCTCTGTCATGTTGACCGTGTCGCCCCTTGTTGCGTTGAACGGGAGGGAGTGTCCTCGCCAGGTAACACCCGGCAACCCAGCAGTGATGTGTCCAACACGCCCGACTCTGCCGTGTCTCTACGTACGTGTGTTGTATGTGCGTGGATGTTAAACTTCTTTCGCACCGTCCGTAGCCAAACTCGCTATTCGGATGGTGCGCGGGAAGGACCACATGCATGCACGCGATGCAGTGGCCGTCTTTGTTTGACGGCGAGCCGAACGCTGCTGTTGCTGCTGTGATGATGACCGGAGTAGCCGTGAAGATGGTTTATGTTCCCTGACGAGGGAACTTCTTTCGCACCGTACGTAGCCAACCGTGCTAATCGGGGGTGCGGGCTGAGACCCAGGAATGTGTAAACGGGTATATCCCATCTCCTAAATGACGTCACGCACCTATTGGGGGGGGGGGGTCAGACATTTGTGACGATGTGTGACGAGGGGGGGGGGGGTGAGAAATGTGACGTCACTTAAAAATGCGCAACTTTGAATAAATAACAACACTAATTGTTACAACAACACTCCTACAACATCATAGTGCAGCGCCACATTAAATACGCACTACAATGACAATAGTTCAAAGCGATTTGAAGCATGTTTTATTTTCAAAATGGAAATATGGTTTGGGGGGGCAAAGCTTTGTGACGTCATATTTGAGGGGGGGTCTGACTTTTTGTGACGCCGTGTGACGAGGGGGGGGGGGGTAAAAAATCGTCCAAAATCGTGTGACGTCATTTATGGACGGCCCCTTAAAGGCTGCTGGAAAGACAATAAATAGGCAGATGGTCTAAAACAAACTTTATTTGTAAGGTGGATTAACATCGCTCGTTATGTAAGAGGTGGCGACGGCTACGAGAAGCCTTCCTCCTGCAGTGGATTGACCATGCCTGATGATGATGAGACACAGAAATTAATTCTGGTTACGTTTGCTTTGAACCATAATGATCCACACCAATGCAGCATGAGTTTGGACGTAAGATTGCTTTTTGATGACGAACACGTTACCCACATACTCTTAGGTTTTTTCGGTAAAGTCACGCAAAAAAAAACCTAAGAGTATGAATCCTTGCAGTCACGAAAGCTTCAAATCTAGAAAACGTTACCCACAATGCAGCATTCTGCGCCTCCAATTCCGATCCCACCGCGTTCCGCCACCCCTATAGCCCCCACCACCCCTACACACCCCTCGCCATCCGACCCCCTCCCGGATCATTTGCATGTGAATGGAAATCGCCCTAGCGGAGTCAGCAGATTCTATGGCCAAGGGCGAGGGGAGGTGTTAGGGAGGGGAAAGGAGGGGGGGGTAGAGGTGAGGGTGGGAGAGGGGAGGTGGAGTAGGGGGGAGGGGGGGAGGGCGGAAAGTAGGAGGGAGAGCGTTAAGGTGAGGATGGAGGGGGAGGGTGGAGGAGGAGGAGGAGGGAGGGGTTTGTAGAGTGGGAGAGAAGGAGTGAGAGAGAGGTGTGTGGAGGGGATAGGAGAGAGGGTAGAGGAGAGGGAGTTGAGGTGAGTGGCGGGATGGTGAGGAACGGTTGCCCCTGATTCAAGAGCCAAATGGCTCACAGGGCGAAACCAAATAAATGAAACTGAAAATGAAACTGAAAGGGGAACGGGGGTCCGGGTTATGGGGGGGGTTAGAGAGTTATGGTGAAGTGGGGGGAGGGGCAGGTGTGGTGAGGTGTGGTGAGGTGTGGTGAGGGAGTGGTGTGGTGAGGAAGCCCACGGTTAAGTAAGGACTATGGGAGAGCAGCGGCAGACTAACGGGAGGGAATCGGGTGATGTGGGAGCGGGGAGTTGGCTGTGAGCGCCCCACGTGCTCCGCCTTGCGGAGAAGGCGAGGACTGACGCCGAGTGGGTCACGTGGGTCGTGTCGAGTCACGTGGGTCGTAGCGAGCACGTGGCACGCGCAGTGCTCGGGTGAGTGAGTGATGAGGAGTAAAGTTATATCAGATGCGCGGCCACCAGCGCCACAGCGATACACGCACCAATCTAAACTTGAAGTTTTCGTGACTGCAGGGATCCATACGATTTGGTTCTTTCGGTAAAGTCACGACGTTTCGATTGCAAAAACATTTTCTTGCTGTGGGTTTCCCACCTGATGATGATGATTGCTTGTGTTGCAATCGAAACGTCGTGATTTGATTTATTTTATTTTATACCTACGTGACTTTACCGAAAGAACCAAAGAGTATATACGTACCACCATCACCGCTACCAGCACCATCACCAGCACGACCACTAATTACATCACCAATAACAGCACCACCATCACCAGCACGACCACCAATCGCCTACAACAGCAGCACCACCAGCAGCAGCATCACCATTACCATCACCAGTACCACTACCTGCACTTTAACAGACTGTAGGGGCAAGGGCTGTTAGCGATCACCTACGAAAGTGGCGATGTTTCCACACCGCCACCAGGTACTCGTGTGAGGCTGAGCTGACCTCGGGGAGGCCCAGGACCGGTTCAGATAATTATCTTAATTATAATTAATCGTCACTGATGTTGACCGTGGAGGGGAATCAAACTCGGGTCGCCGCGTTCGTAGTGCAGCGCGCTAACCGCTACACAAAAGATTTGACACCAGGACCAAAGATACCACCACCATCGCCATCGCCACCATCACGAGCACCATCTTCACTATCACGCACCAGCACCGCCTCTGCTATCACCACCACCGTCATCATCACCGCGCGCGTTTAGTTTTTTTATTCGATTTCGTTTTTATTGGAAACAGATTCAGCCGCTCTCGTGATGTGCGTCACCTCAGGGGGTTCATAATGGCCACGTCGCAGCCACTTGTCCAACACCTCCGTCTTAGAAGGATGAAGGTGCCGTAGGCAGGAATTAAGAACACCTGGGATTAACAATGAACCCTACGATTAATTAATTATATAAGGGTGCCCTAGTCTGGCCCTATGAACTCACGGGTATCAATAATTGACCCGAATAATCTTTAAAAGTGCCTTAGCCTGGATCTAAGAGCCGCAGACATTTAAAATGAATCCTAATAGTCCTAAAGTATGTAAGTTTAAACCTCCCGTTGATCACGTGACTTCTGCGTGGCCACGCCCACTCTGGATCCCTCCCCTCTCGCTGCTGCCCCCTACGAAAACAGACGCCGCTCGGTGCGGCTCACCACTGCTTTTCCCTCTCATCCCTCTCCTCTCATCATCACCCTGTCATCATCATCACCCTCTCATCATCATCATCACCCTATCATCATCTTCGCCCTATCATCATTACCCTCTCATCATCACCCTCTCATCATCATCTTCACCCTCTCATCATCATCATCACCCTATCATCATTACCCTCTCGTTATCATCATCACCCTGTCATCATTACCCTATCATCATCATCACCCTATCATCATCACCCTCTCGTTGTCATCATCATCAGCCTCTCATCATCCCCCAACAACACGGCCCGATCTCATTCTCCTCCTCCCTCTCCTCTTTGCCTGCCGCTCACCTTGAGCCACGCCCTCCTCATCGTCCCTAACGGCATGCCCTTCCCTCTCCCCTTCTTCCCTCTCCCCTTCTTCCCTCTCCCCTTTCCTCTCCCCTTCCCTCTCCCCTCCCCTCTCCCCTTCCTCGCCACGCATTATATCTAGTCATACCCCGATTTACGTCACTCCCCCTTCTACGTCGTTTCGCAAACACGTCGTCACTTCAATCTGAATACCGCTGCCTCATCTGCGTCGCCTCAACCCCACACTTACGTCGCTGACGGCATCGTCCGACCTTTCTCGTTATCCGTCGCCTTTCAGCCCTCGCCTCCACCTACCCTGTACACTAACACATACATTTACCGTGCTGTAGAGCACAGTATATTATTTACGTACGGTATTTTGTTGATTTTTGTTTCTAGTTTATTGTATTTTATTGTACCCTGTAGAATTTGTATTCAAGTTTACGGCTGTACGCTGGTGTTCAGTTCAGTATTTTTTTTGTAATTTAACGTAACTTTGTGGGTACGTCTGGGACAGTGCTGCTCACTAACTTTAAGAAGGGGCACTTTCGCCAGATAAGACATCACCAGTTGTGCGAGGGCCGTCACACAATGTGAAGCCGTTGGTGGTTTTTGACATAGCTCGATGATGATGGGGGGGGGGAGGGTGTTTTCACTTGTTGTGTTTTGTCGGGATGCCGCACGTCAGGGGCCGCCAGTGGCCCAAGTGCCTCTTGCAGTGAAGGTCACCACTCTAGGATGAAGACGCGAACACACAGCGCGTCACCGTACCCTCCGCTGTCTGTGTTTAGCGCTCGTTGAACAAACATGGCTTCGATTTACGTTGATCGTCGTCGCATCTTTCTGGAACGTAACCCCCCCCCCCCCCGCTGTAAACCGGGGTATTATGCCCGTATGTATAATATCAGTGGTCGTGCGCCACAGGTACAATGGGCTGTGATGATCCATACAGCATTGAGCTACGTGACCCTACCGTACCACGTGATATAGCAGATGGGATCTACGTATGTGTGTCCTGTATATGTTGGACTTCTTTCGCACCGCACGTAGCCAACCGCGGCTAATCTTACGCGTGAAGGACTCCAACCAATCACAGACAGCAAGAACCAGGAAGCTACCGTGAAAAGAACTCGTAAAATCAGAGAACGTGTCACTAATTCCGTCCGATCACAAAACAACGCTAAGCAGGAAGCTACTTCGCATCCGTAAACGACAAGAAAACACCAACACAACTGGCCAGGGGAAAAAAACATTAAACCACACACACACACGGGTGTGTAGCGCTGCATGTGTAGAAGTTCTCAGCCTTATCCAGACCACCCGCTCTAAATAACTGAATGTGTGGCCATATTATACATTTTGGGGTTTGAACCACCGACTCAAAAAAGTGGTTGAAAATGTTGGCATCCTAACAACAGTTCAAGTTCAAAGTTCAAAGTTCATTTATTAGGTAAAGCCCTGTGAGCCATTCGGCTCTTGAATCGGGTGCAACCGCAACAACAATAGATAGATTCTGGCTTGAAGCCAAGCAGGGCCAGGGGCGGAGCTAATGACGCGTTCATTGCGTGTGACGTCAGTCGGTGCATTGTGAGGACAGCGTCATGTAATCTACGCGCCCCTCGAATCGGTTCATTGCGTGTAACGTTGGTTGCACAGCTGGACTCGGACAGAAGTAAAACAAACTGGTAGCCACCTCTTATCTTCGCACCTGATTGGTTCAAAAGTGACGACGTCACATTTATGCCTCCTCTGTCCAAGACCGAAACAGGAGGTGGATTTCTCCACAACTCTGGCTGTCACCTGATGAGGCTGGTTGTAATTACCGGCGAAACGTCACCGTACTCGAATGGTAAATGTTGTTGTGGGTTTACTCTCCAACACACAACCGGTGTGCCGAACTAGTAACGAATTGGCATGTTTTGTTTAGGTGACAAACCTTTCTAATTGGCTGTATCGGGTGTTGGTGAGTTTAACGACATATTTATATTTACGCGATCTAACCCAAAAACCTCTATTATGCAGAACGACAAAATTGCCACACTCAGTTCTTTTGAAGCTGGTGGTCTGGATAAGGCTGAGAGCCGTTGTCCATGCAATGCTGCTTCACACCACAGGAGACGCTGGTGCGAGCAGTCGCTGTTGAGAGCAGATCGAATTCTCAGTTTTGGAAAACGTCAAATCACTCGATTTGCACTCACACACGATGAGGTCCATTCAAACGACAGCCAACTCTCGATTATCCGCGATCCGATTATTTTTCCAGTTTATTGAATAATGGCTGGGTAGGGAGTCAACGGAGTATGTCTACACGCGTGAGCTGTTTAGATATTATGAGTATAAGCTGCTCCTCACTCGTCCAGGGTCCGTACGTGTGTGCGTGGCTGCACGTCGGCAAGTAAAACGGGGTCCGGTGCTTTGAGCATCAATGACAGCAGACGTCCACCAGCTTCCCCGTGTTCGCACCAGCGCCCCGTGTGGTCGTAAACACGTGGTCCTAGCCTCATTTACGTACGGTGTGAATTGTCCACGGTTATTTTTTAAATCCGGACCTCTGTCTCCCCCATGACCCCCCCCCCTCTCTCTCTCTCCCAATTACCCCGGATAACCGAGAGTCGGCTTTGCACTCGATGGTTGAAGTAGGAGATGGACACGGGTGAAGCGAAGGACGAGAGAGAGACGAGGTGCAAATAGACAGTACAATTCATTCTCTAGCATCATATTCATAATAAACGTTTTTTGGTTAGATCGCGTTATCTATAAATGTGTCGCAACCCTCCACCACCAGACATGGCCAATCAGCAAAAATGTGTCACGTCGTTCTCAAACATTGTAAATGTTGTGGTTTCACGCTTCAACACACCGGTGGGCTAAAGCAGTGAACTATTTGTCTTTTGTCAACGTGACACTTTTTTGCTGATTGGCTGTGTCGGGTGGTGGAGGGTTACGACACATTTATAAATAACGCGATCTAACCCAAAAACGGTTATTATGAATAATATTTGTCGCGGAAGCCTGCTACGTGTTAAACGAATTCTCTAGCACTCCACGCTCGCTGGCGACGGGCCGTGTGTGTGTCGCCCCATGCCCGTTCCGCACTTGTTCCGCGCTCGTTCCGTTCCCTCTGCGTTCCATTCTCGTTCTGTTCACACGAGTGGTTTGTCGTCGCGGGTCGAGTCGTCATCGCCTCCGTCCTGGAACGCGCGGCGATCGAACCTGCACACCCGGCCGGCCGGCATCCATCACATCAGTGTGATTATGAATATTATGATGATTGTGGTGATTACGATTATGATGAATGGAGTGATTATGATAGTTATGACAATTCCGCGTGTGTACCCTGCAGGAAGGCCTCATTGAGTCTCAAGACTTTTTTCAGGAGTCTACTGCCAAGTGGTTCGTAGCAGGGTGCGATGTTACTGCTGCTGCGTGAGATTCCAATTGAGTAATTTGCAACGTGATTTTTCGGAGCTGGGATGTTTAATTGGCCACGACCAGTTCAGCATTTTTTAATTTGCAATGGGAGGAAACCGGAAAATCACGGAGGAAATGCATGCAGAACAGAGAGCATACAAACTCCACTCGCTCTCTCTTACACATACACTGCAGAACAGGGGGAGAACACACACATTCCACACAGAGAAAGGCGCCCCAGTCAGGAATCGAACCGAGGTGCCTTCCTGCTGAGTGGCTTGAGTGTTATCACTTCGCTGCCACGGCCACTGCAGCCCGTGACGAGTGGCAGCACCTACTCTTGTGCACCCCACGCAGCGTCACGCAACATCAGCTTCGGACACCACCACCGTCTTGAACTGTTACAGCCTCACGTCGGTTCTCTGCTATCGCCCCCTCGGTGTGGAACTCCGTTTGCACCTCCGCAACATCAAATGCACTCTTGACCTTTAAGTTTTAAGAAACGTCTAACATCTGTTTGGGTCAGGCTTTTCGAGCAGCCCTGAAGCTTGGCTCGGCGCCTCTGAGTTATTGATGTGTCTGCAAAATTTGGCGCGTTATAAATGTCATGATTATTATTATTAGCACCACACGTTCACTCTACGCCAGTGTGCTTTGTTGCAAGGCCCGCGAGCCACTGGCGGTCCCTGGTGCCTTCTAGTGCGGCCCCTGGCGTGCAAACTCCACCCCAATCATCATCACCGTGCTGCTGTCACAAACCCCCAAGGGTTTCAAATGGTGTGGCGGCCCTCACACTGATGATGTCTTGTGATTGAAGAACACTGCTGTCTACACGCGCGCGGGCGTGTGTGCAATCATCAATGTCGAGTTCTATCTCGCATCGTATTGATTCGATGAGAACGAAGCTTGAGTATGAAGTGTCGTTGCCAATTACATAACAAACAAAAACAAACCCTGCCACATTTGTCAGAGGGCTGCCAAAAACTTGAGAAGACAAAAACAGCTCTAAAAGGACTATTTTAACAGCAACTTTCTGATGAGATATACCACGTCTGGCAGGGCTTTCGTTAGCAACAGTTGTGTTTTAGTCACATCGACGCGTAAGGAAAATATTGCGTCCTAAACCCTCCGATTTAACAGAATCGCCACACGAGCGAACGTGCGCCTGAAGCGGTACATCAAAATCCGAACACATTCGCGCACGCGGCAGCTCGACAAGTTTGTCCGCGTCGGGTGGAGGGAGGTTACACGACACAACATTGTAACGACCCGCCCGCCAAACCACCCCCTCCCCTTCCAACCCCCCCTCCCCCGGCCTCACCTGGCCCGTCTCAGCGCCGCCTGTGCGCGTCCCAGGTGAATGGCGCGCAGGCGGTGGAGAGGCGCCGTGCCCCTCGCCGCCATCCCGGCCAGCTGAGACTCCTCCGCGTGAGCCCCGATGCGCCCCAGACGCCGCGCGCCCACGGCCACCACCAGCAGAACGAGCAGCAGCGCAGAGCCGCCCGCGGCGGCTGCCAGGGGGAGCACGCGGGCCTGCAGCTCCAAGGGGACCGCGTCGTCGATCCGCGGCTGCTTCTGTTGCCGGGACTCGGGGTCGAGGCCCCTCGGCTCTGACACCGAAGCGCTGGGGGAGCGTTCGCGTGGGAGAGCACGAAGGGGGGTACCTGTGGGGGTGCGGGGTGGATCTCTGTCAGGGTGGCGCGGTGCTGCCTGGCAGCGTGGAGCTCCCGGGTTCGATTCCCGTCTCGGTGAGTATTTCTGTGTGGAGTCTCGTCCGCGTTCTCCGGGTTCCTCCCATAGCAAACACAAATATCAATCCCCCCATACCGGGTATGTCTATTGGACTTCTTGAGCATCGTACGTAGCCGACCGTGCGGCGGAAGGGCAACAAACTAAAAACAAAAATCTGATCTAAAGAAATTCGTTTTACATCTAGAAATGTAACCGGTATTGGTCTAAAAACATTTTTTGTGAAAAAATAATCAGAAATGTCAGTGCTGGGGTGAGGAGGGCAAGAGAGCCCCCCGTTCCAGATCAACCTCTCCCCCCTCGCCTCGCGTTGTGTTCCACCTGGTAACGTACGGTGCGAAAGAAGTCCAACACACACCTCCGATTAGCACGGTTGGCTATGTACGGTGCGAAAGAAGTCCAACAACAAAGATAAAGATCCCCCGTATAGCCTTAACAGACTGTAGGGGCAAGTGCTGTTAGCGAGCACCTATGAAGGCCGGAACGGTACACGAGGGGGTGGGTGGCCAGCACCACGCCCGACCGCCTTTGTCTCCCTAGCGGCGATGTTTACACACCGCACCAGGTACTCATTTGAGGCTGAGTCGACCTAGGGGAGGCCCAGAACCGGTTCAGATAATCGTCACTGGTGTTTGCCGTGAGCGGGAATCGAACCCGGGTCGCCAAGTTCGTAGTGCAGCGCGCTAACCGCTACACTACCGCTCCCCACAACAACAACAAACGCACACACACACATACACACATACACACACACACATACACACACACATACACTCCCACACACATACACACACTCACACACACACACATACACACACACATACACACACACACATACACACACACATACACACACACATACACTCCCACACACATACACACACACACATACACACATACACACACACACATACACACATACACACACACACATACACACACACACATACACACACACACATACACACACACATACACACACACATACACTCCCACACACATACACACATACACACACACATACACACATACACACACACATACACACACACACATACACACACACATACACACACACATACACACACACACATACACACACATATACACACACGCAGGTGAACTAAGATGGTTGCGGCTGTGGGGAAACGTGATTGGGCCCTGGGCAGGAGGCGTCACGTGGCCGATGGTCGAGACTCAGAGCGGAGTGGCAGCCACGGAACGGGGCCGAGAGGACCTCCACTGGGAGATGGAGCGGTGATGGAATCAGCTCATGGGGCGTAGAGCTTGGAGTGCAGGGAGCTATTTACTCTATATGGGGTGAGGGTGCTATATATGGGTGCAGAGTGCTATATATGGGAGCTATATATGGGTGCAGGGTGCTATATATGGGAGCTATATATGGGTGCAGGGTGCTATATATGGGTACTATATATGGGAGCTATATATGGGAGTTGTATATGGGTGCAGGGTGCTATATATGGGAGCTATATATGGGTGCAGGGTGCTATATATGGGAGCTATATATGGGTGCAGGGTGCTATATATGGGATCTATATATGGGTGCAGGGTGCTATATATGGGAGCTATATATGGGAGCTATATATGGGTGCAGGGTGCTATATATGGCAGCTATATATGGGTACTATATATGGGAGCTATATATGGGTGCAGGGTGCTATATATGGGAGCTATATATGGGTACTATATATGGGAGCTATATATGGGTGCAGGGTGCTCACGCGCTTCGCATCGTCGCCCAGCGAAGCCGGGAGCGCAGCGGCACACGAAGCCGCCGGCCGCGCCGGTGCAGGAGGCGCCGTTCCTGCAGGGCGCCACTCGGCAACCCGCCCCCTCCGCCTCCTCCTCCGCCTCCTCCCCCTCCTCCCCCCTTTCCTCCTTCTTCGCCTCCTTCGCCTCCCCCTCCTCCTCCGCCCCCTCCCCCTCCTCCCCCCTTTCCTCCTCCTTCGCCTCCCCCTTCTCAGCCCCCTCCTCCTTCTCCTCCTCCTCGGCGCAGTCGTGACCATGGAAACCGGGCGCGCACGCGCACACGAACAACCCCCCCCGCCGGGGGGACACGGGGGGCGGGGCTGGGGCGGTGGGGGAGGAGGAGGAGGAGGGGGAGGGAGGAGGAGCGCTCGAGGGGAGGGAGGGGGCCGGGGCGCGCGCGCGCTCTGGGGGGCTGGCTGGTGCCTGCGGATGTCGCTCCGTCTGCGCCTCCGTGTGCTCGTCCGCGTGCTCGTCCGCGTGCTCGTCCGGGTGTTGGTCCGGGTGTTGGTCCGGGTGTTGGTCCGGGTGTTGGTCCGGGTGTTGGTCCGGGCGCTGCGAGGCGGGGGGTGCCACGGACGCGTGCGGCTGTCCCTTCAGGGGCTGTGCGTCCGGGTGTAGGGGCGGAGGCTGCGCATCCTCGGTGGGGTGTGCGTCGGGGTGTACGATGGGGCGCGCCTCTGGGGTTTGTTCCGGATAGGCGGGAGGGTGTTCGTCTGGGTGTGAGGGGAGGGGCGCTGGGGGGTCTGAGGGGAGGGGCGCTGGGGGGTGTGAGGGGAGGGGCGCTGAGGGGTCTGAGGGGAGGGGCGCTGAGGGGTGTGGGGGGAGGGGCGCGGGGGGGTGCGCGCGCGAGCACGCGCCGCCGTTCCGGCACGGGTTCCGCGCGCACGGGTCTGGGTCGTCGTCGTCATGGTAACCGTTGGCCTGGTAACCGGGTACCGGGTGTGGGGGTGACATCACACACAGAGAGACACACACAGAGACACACACAGAGACACACACAGAGACACAGAGAGACACACATAGACACACAGAGACACACAACAACAACAACCGCCGTTCGCCACTAAATGGGAGTGACGTTACCACGGCGCTTGTGCCAGGCTAGGTACACATTGAGGTCACGTGAAGTATCGAGAGCTCGCCGGCAGACAGACTCAGGTGCCGTGGGTTGACTGAGACCGGCAGAAGCACCACCTGTGCACCCAACTGTGCCAACTTGCTGAGTTTTATCCACCCGGCGCTCCGCTCGTTGTTGTGAGCGTCACTCCTCCGCCTTCCGTTGCTGGAGGGCGATTTACTCCAACTGCCCAGTAGCATCCTTCACGAACCTCCCCCACGGCACTGGTACCAGTCATCGACTAGTCCACTCAGCTCCATATCCTCCCGTACCGCATCAGTCCATCTCTTCACCAGCCCATGTCGTGCCCGTTTAGCGCCCTCTATGCAGCCAAACAGAAGCTGCTTGGGCATGCGGTGGCTGGGCATGCGGGCTTCATGACCCAGCCAACGCAGCCTGGCCTGCCGGAGGAGCTCACTGATGGGGCTGTGTTCATATCTGAATGGTGCAAGGCTGCACAGGTGTCGTTAAGGGGTCCACGTTTCACAAGAATAAAGAAGACCCGGAGCTTCGCGTGGAGCGATAGGCCAGGTCGCTGCCACACAGCTTTAAACAGTTGATGTAAGTATTGTGTAATGCCGCTCGATTGATTAAATGTGAGAGCTCGGCTGGAAAAACGCTGACCTCTGAAAAAAGGTCGCCAGGCAGTTCCCTTGGGAGGTCATCTCTGTTCTGCATATGCCACTCATATGAGATGGTTAGCTACTCCCTCGAATATTTGAGGTTCTAAAATCCTAGGCGGATCATCCCCACATTGCCCCGTGATGCTGTATGGGCTGAAGGGTCCCCCCCCTCTGCCAAAACCCTCACAGACATACTCAGCAAATTTTTAACTTGCTCCTGAAGGTCGGAGATCGGATCACCACTCCACCACTTAAGGACGGCGATAGACTGTGACGCTGAAAGTTAAGTTGTTGATGGAATTAAAGAGTTATTTGGGATCACAAGCTCCTGAGCGCGAATTCTAGGGCGAAGATTAGGGCTGTTGTTTTAACACATACCCTCTTACGCATATCAGCAATGTATCTGTTTAATGCTTGCGTAACTTAATTGTAACTGTGCTGTGTCATTGCTTTTATGACCCAGGCCACTCTTGCAAATGAGATTCCATCCTGGTCTCTTGAGTTCTCACCCAGACACACAAAATACACGCGGACATCATTGCCGTCCATGCACCCCTCCCCCTCCCCTCCACATTCCCCCAATAACCCCGCCCCTCCCCCAATCACCCCACCCCTTCCCCAACCACCCCTCCCCCAATTCCCCCCTCTCCCCCAACCACCCCTCCCCTCCCGTAATCACCCCTCCCCATCTCCACTGTCACGACCGCTCCCCAACCCCAATCACCCCGACCCTCTCCTGCCTCTCCCCCGCCCCTCCCCCACCGCCCCCTCCACGTGCCCCCGCCCCCCCCGTTGCGGAAAGGCGCGCGCGCGCACCCACGTGACGCGTGGCGCGTGGGTGCGCGCGCGCGCGCGCCGCGCGCCCTTCTCAATGTCGGGCTCCGAGGAAGTTGCGATTGACCTTGAGTGAGAATTTAACCATCGTCAGCAGCAGCAGCAGCCGCATCGTGTTCATCACCACGCACATTACTCATCACATCACCGACTGGCGCGGTTGGCTACGTACGGTGTGGAAGAAGTTCGCCATACGCACATACCACCACTAGTACCACCATCATCATCATCACGATCATTGTAATCATCGGCAGCATCTTCACTAACATCGTCACACACATCACTAACATCATCGTAATCATCGGCAGCATCTTCGCCAACATCATCCCGAACATCACTAACATTCTCATCATCACTGTCAGTATCGGAATTGTCACTGAATATCGTCATCATCACTGTTAGTGTCATCATCATCATCATCAGCGTCATCACGATCATTTTCACCGACATCGTCAGGATCATCACCACTTACAATCATACCATCAGCATCATCATCATCATCGTCGTCGTGAACATATTATCCTCGTCAATATCAACAGCACCACCACCACCACTAACGCCATCATCAGCACGTGCATCTTCACGTGATATGCTGTCTCACCGTTTCAGTTGCCATGACAACCACGTGACACCCAAGGCGCCCCTCCCCCCCATCCCGTGCACTGTCACGTGATCGCATAGTCACGCCAGCCCCCCCCCCCCCCCCCCACGTGTGCACATGCAAAGACACAAGATCCCCCGTATCGGCTTAACAGTCTTCTGGGGCGAGTGCTGTTAGCGAGCGCCTATTAAGGTCGCCACGGGTTTAGCCAGCACCACGCCCGGTCCTATTTGTATCCCCAGCACTGGTGTTGAGTAACACGCGTTTAGAATATTCCGCTGCCGTGAATGTCCACATGAAGACGAGAAGCCACTTGAGCTACAATTCCTGGTCAGGTCGCTGCTGAAAAGAGCTACTTAGGTGGCTGGGCCTTACCTGGTAAAATACCAAAACATCGTCTGAAGTTTTTGTTCGTTTCAATAATTACAACGCGCACACCGAACACTTTGTTATTCACGCGAGGGTGAGTCCGCCTTCAGGAGGCTCTGGAGCAGAGGTCCAGATGTCACTCATCATTGATGTTGACGGTGGTTGCCAATCGATGTCAGGTCTGCGGGGTTCGTAACGCAGTACGCTAATCACTGCGCCACCACACCCCATACACAAATAACCCCCGTATAGCCGCAAAATACTTTTGTGGCAAGTGCCGTTAGCGAGCACCTACGAAGGCCTGAAAGGAGGGAGTCGGGGGCCAGCACCGCCTTTGTCCCTCTGTTGACGATGTTTACACATTCGCCACTCAATATCGGTGGCGTCACCACGGCGCTTGTGCCAGGCTATGTGCACTTTGAGGCTACAAAGATCCCCCATATAGCCTTAACAGACTGTAGGGGCAAGTGCTGTTAGCGAGCAGCTATGAAGGCCGGAACGGTACACGAGGGGGTGGGTGGCCAGCACCACGCCCGACCGCCTTTGTCTCCCTAGTGGCAATGCTTACACACCGCACCAGGTACTCATTTGAGGCTGAGTCGACCTAGGGGAGGCCCGGGACCGGTTCAGATAATCGTCACTGGTGTTGGCCATGAGCAGGATTCGAACCCGTGTCGCCGGGTTCATAGCGCAGCGCGCTAACTGCTACACTACCGCTCCCCACTACTTTGAGGCTACACACGCGCGCGCACACACACGCGTACAGACACGCGCGCGCGCACAAAAACATGCAGGTACTTGCACGGCGACGCGCTAAGCACTGCGCCACCGCTCCCCCCGCACACATCACACCCACCACCTGTGCGCTGACGGTGTTCAGCACCACGGACAGCAGCAGCAGCAGCAGCGCGACTTGAGCTGCCATCTCGAGCCTCGCAGAATCTCACCTCTTCATTCAACACAACAAACAACAACAACAACGACGACGATTGAGGATAGTGATGACAATGAACCGATAATAATGATCATTGTAACATTTTACGAATGGCCGTTGTTGATGTAGAGCAACAACTGTAATTTGGCATTGATGATAGTGATGTATGATCACGGTGGTGATGATGCATTACGGTGAATATATGATGGTGGCTGCATCATGTTGTTGATGTTGATGATGGTTTGATGGTGATAGCTACGTATTTATTCTGACTCCAATCAAATGGTGACTATGATGTGATTATTAATGTATGATCGTAGCCTGATGCTGTTTCGGGATGACGACGACGATGCTTATAAACATGCGTTGTTTAATGGTAATCGTGAACGTGACAGTGTTGATTTAGTTTAACTGTTATCATACCAATTAACTCGTGATTAGCATCGCCATGATGATGGATTAATACTAATTATAATTACGCAAAACCTTGAATTATGACGGCGTGACGATGGTGAATTTCTGATGACGATTAACAATTGTTTACGATCAGGGTTCGCCGATCATGTCCAAATGTTTTAAACATAATCGTCATGACGACGCGAAATGTTGACTTGTCCATGACGATGGTGGTGAATTGATGATGAGGATCAATTGCTAATGATGTTGATGATGATGATGGTGTTGTTGATGTTGAGCACCCACGTGTGTCTAATCGCGCCTCCACAATGCAGGAATTCCTCGCCGTGTTGACGACCGCCGCTCCGTGTCTGGAGCTCGGGACGCCGGTGACGAATGGATGGAATCGATTCCAGCACGCAGCCAACAGAGACGGTTTTTGGAATCGATGGGAGTTGAATCTCTTCTCTCGGCTAAAGTAATAATTAAAAAAACCCAAGTCAGGTTCGCCGCGATGTGACGATGCTTACGATGATCGTATCGCCCCGTTGTGTACAATATCGTCATATCGTGATTAAAGTTGCGCATCTAATTCGTTTTCTGAAACGTCGTTGTTAAATAACAAGAGCGCAATAATTAAACGTTTAAATAAATATCCCGGTCATCTTCTTGTATAAAATACAATTGTATTTTATTATGTTTTATTTTTATTATTTTATTATTTCCTTTCTACGTGACTTTACCGAAAGAACCAAGAAGATGAATCCCTGCAGTCACGAAAGCTTTAAATCGAAAAATATCCCGTTCTCTACTCGTTGGTTTTTTCGGTAAAGTCACGTCGGTAGAAAAAAGAATAGATCACTATTCTTAAAAATAATAGATCACTATTAAGAATATCGATCTATTATTTTTCTACCTACGTGACTTTACCGAAAGAACTAAAGAGAATGGATTCCTGCAGTCACGAAAGCTTCAAATGAAAATATCCCGTTGCCCATCCAGGTAGTACCTTTCTGTGAAATTCTTTGCGTATGCCATGTGTGTGACACGGCGGTGGTTATACGACTTCACTTTATTGTGAGCTCCATAGTACACCCAATTAATAAATGAACACGAACAATAGTGATAGGTTTTTACCCTTTCAACTGGTACAAAAACTGACACCTTTATACAAGACATCATGTTTGCAATAACCACAACACAAGCAGTCAAAATTCAAACATGATGTCTTGTATAAAGGTGTCAGTTTTTGTACCAGTTGAAAGGGTAAAAACCTATCACTATATTTTGCCACTGGTAAAGGAGATGTCTCAAAGTGAACACGAACAAATTAGCAGAGAACACGTCTCCTTAACATATCTGCCTCTAAACACATAAATAATAATAATATTATCAGAGTGTGTTTTGTGTTTGCATTTTGACCACAAGTAGTGTGGTTAGTGCACACATGAGTCCTTGTAAAACGCTTTCAGTTTTTTTGCCAGAAAAAAGGGGGGAACCCCTATTATTATATTTTGGTACTGACAAAGGAGGTCTAATTATTTAAATATAAATAACAATTTTTTTTTTCTTTTTGGTTCTGTCGGTAAAGTCACGTTATTTAATTTATTTTCTTCCTACGTGACTTTACCGAAAGAACCAAAGAGTAATTCCTGCAGTCACGAAAGCTTCAAATCAAGGTTAAGGCATATTTTTGTTACCCATCCCATCAGTCAGCCGCACGGCCTTCTGGGCCTTCGAAAGGAAGCAGTCTACCTGGGGATCGTGAGAGAGATGGCCACAGCTTTGGCAGAGCCCTCATTCAGCAGTGGATAGGTCATGGAGGAGGATGATAAACCACTCTGCACATATGCACTCCACACTAGAGTACAGTATATGGAATCATGCCAGGTTTCGGGTAATGGTCCTTGTGAAGAAAATATAAATTCGGCGATGTTTTAAGCAATAAAACTTTATTTTCTTTCAAGGTCACAGTGTTGTTAGTGCCCAGTGTGTTGAGTTTTTCGTATTGACTGCAGCTTTTGCATCACTGCCAATGCTACAGCAGCACCAGATAGTCCGTATCAATTTTTGTAATTAAACTATTAAACTTTTTATATTTATTTTACCAGTGAGCTATGTAGCTGTTTTTCAGAAGCGACCAGGCTACAAATGATAGCTCAACAAAGAGGCTTATCACGTGGAAATGTACTGTATATCAGCCATATACTCGAAACGCGTGATGTTGATTCTAAATGTGAAGAGAAAACACGGAGGTCATGGAAAAAAAATCCACGCGCCTACGGGGAGAGAGACATGCAAAGAGGGAGAACACGCAAACTCCAAGTATACAGCAGGCGTCAGGGTCGGCATCGAGCGCACGACATCCTGTATACCAGGCAAGGTAGTTAACATCTCGCCACCGTGACCCCAATATATGGGGAATATCAGAGGGTAATGAAGCACACTCCATTGATGTTCAATACATCTATGCTCTCGCGTCTATGGTGCCTTCACGGCACTGGTCAGCGTGGTGAAGTATGGGCAACCAGCCCCCCTCACCCCGATCCCGACAGCGTGGAGAAAATCTTATGCAGCAGTGGATTGACAAAGCGCTGCACGTGGATTGTGACCCCCCCCCCCCCCCGCATAGCCTACGGGCTCTCCGGGCAGCCGCTGTTAGCGAGCACCTATGAAGGTGACAGCATTCTGCGCATTGAGTGGGCGGTGTGGCTCGAGCACGGTTGACCGCCTTTGTCTTCCGGGTCGCCGGATTCGTCGCGCATTGCGCTAATTAGCCACTACACTGCCGCTCCGGCTAAACACATCCCGCCAATAGGCAACAGCACACGAGGGGGTGGATAGAGGCAGCACCACACCGGGCCGCCTTTGTCTCCCGAGAAGCGATGTTTGCACATCGTACTACAGTTATCTGATGCTGAGTTGATCTAGGGGATTCCCAGGACCCGTTAGGATAATCGTCACCGATGTTGGTGGTCGTGGGCCGGAATTGAACCCTGGTCTCGGGGTTCGTAGCGCAGCGCTCTAGACACCACGCCCCACACTCTCTCACAAAGATGCCCCCGTCAAGTCTTAATAGACCGTTGGGGCAATTGCTGTTTGCGAACACCCATGAAGGTCGGCACGGCACGCGAGGGAGAAGGTGGGTGGCCAGCATCAGGCCAGAGGCACATTCTCACACGCGCACACAGGGCATTGCGCACACACACGCGTACACACAGCATCACACGCGCGTGGGCGCGCTGTGTAACTGGCACCCATCGCCTCGTGCAAACAGCGCGCGTGCTCATTAAGGCGCCTTTAATTGCAGTCTGAGTAACGGCTCCAAAAATACAGAGAACACAGGACGTAATCACGCCCGTGTCAGCGATAATAACAGTGTCAGTGATGATGACTGTCAGTTCTACCATTTCACAGGCATACCCCCACCGCTCCCAGTGCAGCTGTGTTGACTGTTGAGTGGGCGCGTGCGTGTTAGCGAGCTCATATTAAGGCTGTCACGATGGATGTGTGAGCTCGCGGAAGTGGTGGTGGTGGTGGCAAACATCACCACAACCATCACCACCACCCAGCCGCCTTCGTCTCTTGCGATGTCAGTGGTGGTCATGACAACATCACCTACTTAGGGCGCAACGATGGCGAGATATTAACTAAGTCGCCTGGTAAACAGGAGGGCGTGGGTTCAATCACGCGCTTAGAGCATTAGGCTGCTATACATTTCCACTTGATGAGCAACTTCTTTGAGCCATCATTTGTGACAGCCCGGTCACTTCAGAAAAATAGCGACATCGCTCAGTGGGTCTTACTTGGTAAAATAAAATAAAAATAGTTCATAATTGTAGTGCTCCACGATCAGGGTACGCATTACCTAGAGGAGGGTCACGGCGTGATCACATACAGCCTGGCACTTGTGTTGTGAGTCATATTAACGACTTTACTAGCCACCATCAATCTGGATGAATGCCTCCCTCCCCACCTCTCACAACCCAGCAATGTTTGTAATCTACCCAGCACCTGCACCCGAGATGGTCTCATCGCTACATCTCCTCAATTTGGACGTCCATTCCTTTGGCTGCCACTCTGTCGTTAGTCTCGACCATAGGCCATCGTCCCTCTTGGCCGTGACGCGTCCTGCCCAGGCCCACTCACAATTGTTAATACGAGAAGGTGTGGATGATGTATCTGTTACTTGCGTACTTTCTCTAGTCCGCGTGTGCCTTTTTCCGTCTCTAGACGAAATTCCAAGCGCACATCTCTCCACGTTTCTTTTCACACTTTTCACCTTTTAAACGAATAAAACTACTTTTTTTTATTTACCAGGTAAGGCCCACTGGGCTATACAGCTGTTTTTTCAGGCGATATCTGGCCCACAAATAATAGCTCAACGAAGTGACTTATCACGTGTAAATTTATAACAGCCAAATACTCTAAACGGGTGTTTCTAAATGTGGAGGGGAACATGCAAACTCAAAATATACAAGCGCCAGGATCAGGATCGAACTCACGACCTCCTGCATAGCGGGCGAGGTAGTTAACATCTCGCCATTGTGCTGTCATTGCCTTTGACCTGAGCCATGCGTTGTGACGGGTACTGCAAGATGTAACCGTGTCCGTCCGATGCTCCCCACGCTGCATCATTGGCTTCCGGTTGCTGAATGATTACATAAGATTGCACTCATTTCACACAAAGTGCTTGCCACAAATAAACCACACGAGCGTTCTGATCTCGTCTAGGAGCATAAACCATCACGCGAACTCCGGACATCCTTGCAGCGGCAGCGGCTTTTGGCTAAAGCCATCGGACAAAGACGGTGGTCACCGCATCGCGAGGCGCTTTCAGATGCGCTTCTGCGGCCGTCTGGAAAGCTCTTCCTTGCGATATTAGGAAACGGCTAAAGCTACGCACTTTTAAATCGAGATTGATAACACATTTTTTTTAGAACTGCCTTTTGCGTTTAGCGTGTTGTCCTTCCCCGCACCTCTCATTTGCACGGTTGGCTACGTACGGCGCGAAAGAAGTTCAACATACATTACGTACATTCAGGTGGTGCGTCTGCCAGTCATCTCAGTCAATCCATTACAACTGGGTCTGTCCCGTGACCTCCTCCTCGTGCACCTAGGCTGGCACAGCAAGCAATGCATGACATCTGGTTCTGTCCCGTGACCTCCTGCTCGTGCACCTAGCCTGGCACAGCAGGCAACCTATGACACATGGGTCTGTCCCGTGACCTCCTCGTGCACCTAGCCTGGCACAGCAGTCAACCCATGACACCTGGGTCTGTCCCGTGACCTCCTCGTGCACCTAGCCTGGCACAGCAGTCAACCCATGACACCTGGGTCTGCCCCGTGACCTCTTCCTGCACCTAGCCTGGTACAGCAGTCAACCCATGACACCTGGGTCTGTCCCGTGACCTCCTCGTGCACTTAGCCTGGCACGCGAGCCCCGCGGTGACCTCATCTGCGCGCCGCTCGTTTACGTGACAACCCTTACTGGTCGTGTCGGGTGGTGGCGGGTTTTGACGACACATTTATATATTTACGCGATCGAACTCCCAAAAAAAACCCCTCCGCTGCGTAATTCTAGATTTGAAGCTTTCGTGACTGCAATGATTCATACTCTTAGTTCTTTCGGTAAAGTCACGTAGGTAAAAAATGAAATAAAAATTAATAAAAAAATAAAATAATACCCTCCGCTCCGGTTGTAAATTAACGTGGACATTATTCAAATGAGGGGGGTGCGGCCTCGCCTCATGAATATTCATGAGGGCGTGTCCCGGTGTCACGGGACCGCCGCTGTCAGCTGACTCGCGACGACTCCCGCAAGCGCCTCCGTCGATGTCGCCTCCCGCTGCTGCCGCTGCGACCATGGCCCCGTCAGCCGCGCCGCTTCGCCTCCGCCGCCGCCGCCTCCTCCTCCTCGCCGCCCTCGCGGCTCTCGTCCTTCTCGTGCAGGGTGAGAAGCGGTCGGAGTCGAGGTTCGCGTTTTAAGGGCCACACGACGAGAAGCGAGTGGGGACGGGGAGGCGAGGCCTGGTCCGCTTCGGAACTCAGGCCTCGGTCTTGCCTTGGCAGCCCCGCCGACCGGAAGTGAGGGATGGTCGGTAGGTGGGGGGCTTGTCCTGGCCGGCCTCGAGAGATATTGACGTGGGAATGGGTTTTGTTGGGTTTAAGGAGAAATGTTTATCGAAACGAGTGTTAACGATTTTATTTGTAATGAAATTGTGACGTGTTTTCGTGTGTGTATTTAGTTGGGTTGGTTCCTTATGAAGATTGGTTGGATCGTGGGTAGTGGTTGTGTGGGTTGTAATTACTTTGATGAAGGTGTTAACAGTGGTGGTGATTGTGATGGTGATCAACATCACCACAGCTACCACCATCGTTACCACAGTGCCACAAAACCATTACCTACATCACTACTATCATTTTTACCATTACCACCATTTCCATCACTACCACCATCAACCACATCGAACATCAATTACCATAATTATTATTACGACGACCACCGTCATCTCCGCTCTCAACATAATAACTCTATAACCTTCACATCAATCTAAATGTTTACGACCACTGCTACCATTCCCACCATCCTCAACACTACCACCAACCATCAGCGCAAGTGCCACAATTAATAATCTCTAGGGTAACTGTTGAAGTTGCACGTCGCATTGCAACAACAAAGTTCGATTTTGAATTAACGCTTTGGTTTGGCGATGGTGAGGTAACTGTAACTGTTCACGTTTTCTTTATTTTACCAGGCAAGGTCCACTGAGCTATTACAACTCTTTTTCAGAAGCGACCTGGCCGTCACAAATGATAGCTCAACGAAGTGGCTTATCACGTGGGAATTTATAGCAGTCAAAGTCTCTATGATGTTGATTCTAAATGTGGAGGGAAAAACCGGAGGACCTAGGATAAAAATCCACGCGACTCCGGGGAGAGAGACACGCAAGCTCCAAATATGCAGCAGGTGTCGGTCAGGATTGAACCCACGACCTCCTGTATACCAGGCGAGGTAGTTAACATCTCCTAGCCACCGTGATGATAGAGACACGAAAACTCCAAATATGTAGCAGGCGTCGGGGTCGAGATCGAACTCACGACCTCCTGTATACCAGGCAAGGTAGTTAACATCTCCTAGCCACCGTGATGATAGAGACACGAAAACTCCAAATATGTAGCAGGCGTCGGGGTCGAGATCGAACTCACGACCTCCTGTATACCAGGCGAGGTAGTTAACATCTCCTAGCCACCGTGGCGCCCCCAGGTTGCGAGCGAGTTAGCGTGGGTCGTTGCTTGCGTCTCCATTCTGGTTCACACCGGAGAATTTCTGTGCAAACTTGAGGGAGAAAAAAACACAATAAGAAACAAATTATTAGATTATACGGCACATCACGAACAACCATTAAGACGGGCACTGCATCGCGTGCTTTTAGATGCGCTTCTGCGGCCGTCTGGAACGCTCTTCCAATATTACGAAGCCACTGGAGCTTGATGGAAAAATAACTTATTTTAGAACTACAGTACATTTTGTGTTAGTTTATTGCCCTTTTGGATGGTGAGGCGAGTAATGGAGGGCACGCTGCCCTTTGTTGGTGCATGAGGGAACGCAAGGACTAAGTCTGGCGAGGTCCGGTTCCCTCTGAATGTGGCCAGTGTTTGTGGCCTGGAGTTGGGATAAAACCGGACCAGAGCTGAGTGTGGATGCTGATATCATCAACACCAAACACATTGCACATGCTGGTCCTTGTTTACAGTGCAACCCTCAATACACACGTACGTGCTGCACACATGTGAACATACTTGCATATACACACAAATATAAAGATCCCCCGTATAGCCTTAACAGACTTTTGGGGCAAGTGCTGCTAGCGAGCACCTATGAAGGCCGGAACAGTAGACGAAGGAGTGGTTGGCCAGCACCACGCCCGAGCGCCTTTGTCTCCCTAGTGGCGATGTCTACACACTGTACCAGGTACTCATTTGAGGCTGAGTCGACCTAGAGGAGGCCCAGGACCGGTTCATATAATCGTCATTGGTGTTGGCTGTAAGCGGGAATCGAACTCGGGTCGCTGCTCCCCATACATACACACAAAGATTCCTGTGTAGCCTTTTTTCGTTTTTGGGAGAGCGCTTTTCATGAGCCCATACAGTCATACCTACAATTACGTTTGTACACGTGTACACCCATGGACATGTACAGCCCCCTTTGTCAATCCACTGCTGGATGGGACTTTCCAACTCCATATTTCACCATACTAGTAAGTGCGGGTTGGTGAAGGCATGGGGCATAAACGTGGGCACATAAAAGCTCAGTACAACAGTGCATTTTGCTGCACTGCCCTGTGTGGTGACCTGGGTTCGATTCCCAGCCACGGCTAACACCGGTGGCAAGTGATACCAGATCCAGTCTTGGCCTCATCCTTCACTAATCTGACCCGTGTGGTGAAGTATGGTCAAACAACACAGAAATGGAGAGGCCTTCATCCGCCAGTAGATTAACAAAGGGCTCTACTGTACATAACCGTACATTAATACTCCATTATAAAATATTAACATATAATCACTGACGTTTTGGACTATGACCCATCTTCAGGGTACGGAGATTGTGGCTGACTTTTAGCTGGAGGTTGCACTTTTGACTGTCAATCCAATACTTCAAAAATTGTCAGCTGGTATTTTGTGAAATTACACGTAAAACCAAGTTTAATGTGACGGGGTCTTTTGTGTGTGTGCGGTCAAAGATAACCAGGTTCAGACCACCAACTCCCCTGCACTTGAGAACCTGGTTTAATCATAACTCAAGTCTTCAAGTCTCTATTTCAATCTATTGGGGGTCTGTGTAAGCCATCGGTGACCAGGCTGAGAGGCCATTCACTCTCATCATATTTGAGTACTCGGTTTATTCCTTGGCAGGGCGGCTGAATCTGGGATTTGAACCAAAGAACTTGGCAGTGCCGGCTCTGTGTGTCTGACCTCGAGGGGCACGCGGGCGGACACCGGGGTGCGATTTTGACAAAATGAGCTGACCGGGGGTGTTTTCCCCACGGAGATGGAGCGATGATAACGGCTCTCTGCTCGTGGAGCTCCACACGGATTGTTGAGTCGTGTGACCGAGAGAGGTGGCGACAGCAGTGAGTGGGTGGGGGTTGGGGGGTGGAACCCTTCATCCAGCAGTAGATACATCATGGCCGATGATGATTATGATTGTATTTCATAATTGAAGAGAACTGTACAAGGCTAAGCTACACCTGTAAATAGCAAATAAAAACACTTTGTGAATGGAGCGCGACCCATCTTACTCGCGAGCCAAATTTTCCCCTCCCAAGTTCTCCAGCTGAACGGCAGCCACGTCACGTGGGTCAAGGGTGGCCTGGCTTCCATTGCGCGCCGCACGTTAGAAAAGCAGCGGGGGCTGGTTGTTATTGGGCTGATGGTGCCATGGACGAGAAAAAAATAAAATCTCATCTTCAGGATGAAGCTTTCCACGTGCCGACAGCCGTGGGTGCTGCACCGCTTGAACGCTTCGCGTTTGGTGTGATCAGGCGCGGCAGCGGAGGCGCCGCCGCCGGCGGACGGCCTGCTGGTGCTGCGGGCGCCCGCGTACGTGTCGCTCGCCAAGGAGGAGGCCGCGCTGCCTGGGGACCGCGTCGGAGACCTCGTCTCGCTAGCCATGGGGTTCTCCGTGGAGCAGGTGGGGCCCGCTGTGGTGGGGGCCTAATAGTTGTGGTGATGGTGGGTGGTGATGGTGGGTGGTGATGGTGGGTGGTGATTGTGGTGGTGATCGTGGTGGTTTCTGTGGTGGTGATTGTGGTGGTTTCTGTGGTGGTTTCTGTGGTGGTTTCTGTGGTGGTGATTGTGGTGGTGATCGTGGTGGTTTGGGTGGTGGTGTTTGATGCCATCGATAGTGGTGATTGTTTATGGTGGTGATGGTGATAGTTTCCATGGTGGTGATATTCGTGATGGTGAGTGAATAATGACTTTGATTGACTGGTAGTGGTGTTTGTGGTGGCATCTGATGATGGTCGTGATTGTGTAAATGATGAAGACGATCGTGGCAGTAATTATCCGGTAACAGGGTGGTGGTGGTAATGGCCATGGTGGTCTTGATGGTGGCTGTAGTGTTAATGTCGATAGTGGTGATGGTGTAGTGATGATAATATTGATGATGATGTTGACGATGATATGTTGATGTGGTGATGCAGGAGCTCCCGTGGGGCGGCCTCGCAGCAGGCGACGTGTTTCTTCGTCCCCGTGCCTTCCTGCTCCTCTCCCTGCTGGGGGCAGACGAGCGACTCCTGCCCAAGGCCATCGCCTCCTACCGCGTCGCGCACGTACGCGCACATACGCGCACATACGCGCACATACGCGCACATACGCGCACATACGCGCACATACGCGCACATACGTGGACATATGCACACAGGTGCACGCATACACCTACACGCGTAAACACGCTTGCTTATACGCACACACAGGCATACACACAGATACTCGTGTTCACACACGTACACACGTATGCTTGTATGTACACACACGTGCACGCACATCAAAACATTCATGCTGCCCATGCTGTTGTTACCGCTGCTAATGTTGCCGCTGTGTACGTGTGTGTGTGTACGTGTGGAGCAGACGGTGCCGGTTGACTTGTCGTGGGTGAGCAATTCGCTGGAGTCGTCCTTCGGGGATGACTCGCTGATGCTGGAGTACTCGCCCATGCATCAGGTGAGCCCTCAAATTGGTGCTCAGTTTATCTACTCTCATCGGGTATAATGTATTGATTTGTGTGTGGGCAGTGGGTAATGCAGTGGGCATAGCACACTGCGCTACGAACCCGGCAAAAAGAGTTCGATTCTTGCTTCCAACCAATAATAGCGGCAAATATTTGAGCCTGTCCCGGACCTCTCCTATGTCGACTCACCTTTAAACGAGGACCTGGCGTGGTGGTGTGAGCACTATGGAGAGACGAAGGCGGCCGGGCGTGATGTTGGCCACCCCGCCCGGCCCACTCCCCTCGTGTGCCGTGCCGGGCTTCATAGGTGCTCGCTTAACAGCACTTGCCCCAACAGTCAGGTGAAGGCTGTGTGGGGGATCTTTGTCTCGTGTGTCTGTGTGCAGTTCATGTACGGCTTTGGGAAGGCATTTTCTCAAATCGCGCAGTGGGAAAACCTGCGACCTCGCAACCTCAACACGGCCATCGCGCCTGGGTCGTCCCTTAACGTCACCGTGCAGGTTCGTTTGTGTGTGTGTGTGTGCGCGCGCGCGTCGGTACGTGTGTGTGTGCGCGTGTCGGTACGTGTGTGTGTGTGTGCGCGCGCGTGTGCTACGGAGCTGGCCCGGGTTAGATTCCCACTCACGGCCAACACCAGCGAACCGTTCCTGGGCCTCCCGTAGGTAGGTAGACTCCACCTCAAATGAGCACCTGGTGTAGCGGTGTGCAGCAAACATCGCCACGAGGGGACGAAGGTGGCCGGGCGTGGTGTTGGCCACACACCCCCTCGTGCGCCGTGCCGGCCTTCATAGGTGCTGCTCGCTAACAGTACGTGCTCCTACAGTCTGGTAAGACTATACGGGGGGCTCTTTGTCTTTGCATTTTAGTATATGTACGTGTGCCTGTGTGTGTGGCCTCAAAGTGCACATAGCCTGGCACAGCGTGGTAGTGAGGTCATCGCCACTTCGTGGCGAATGGCGGTTGTTGTGGGTGTCAATGTGTGTGGGGGGTGGGGGGCGGTAGTGTAGAGGTTAGCGTCCTGCACTACAAACCTGGCGACCCGATTTCGATCGCCGCTCACTGCCACCAACACCAGGGACGGGTTATTTGGACCAGTCCTGGGCCTCCCCAAGGTTGACTCGGTCTCAAATGAGAAGTTGGTGTGATGTGTAAACAGCACCGGGGAGACCACACCGCCTGCTAATACACTGCACCGGCCGTAATAGGTGGCTGCCTAACAGCACTTGCCACAATAGCGAGTACGGCTCTGGGGATCTTTGTGTGTGTGTGTGTGTGTGCGCGTCTGTGGGGGTGTGTGCGTGTGTGTTTGTCTTTGCGTGCGCCTTGTCCGTGTTCCTGCGTGGATGCTGCCGGTTTCTGCCGGAGTCGTGGTTCCTCTATTGTCGCCTCCTAATTCACCGGCATGGGATTCCAACAGGGCGAGCGCGCCACCCCGTGGCGATTTATGGAAACGCCCAATATAATCCCTTTCATTTGTATGGAAAGGCAGGTTTCATGCACGTGTTTGTTTGTGGGGTGGGGGCGATACTGGGAAACGCGCGTGTCCAATTGTCCGAGTGTTCGTGTGTCTGTGTGCGTGTCTGTGTGCGTGTGTCTGTGTGCGTGGGGTGCGCAGGAGGATGCGGAGTTCCTGCTGGAGCTGCGCTTGCTGCAAGAGTTTGCGAAGGCCGTACGTCACTCTACCCTCTCCTCCCTCTCACCACCTTCTCCTCCCACTCTCTCACCTCCCCTCCCACTCTCTCACCTCTCCTCCCACTCTCTCTCACCTCTCCTCCCACTCTCTCTCACCTCTCCTCCCACTCTCTCTCACCTCTCCTCCCACTCTCTCACCTCTCCTCCCACTCTCTCACCTCTCCCCCCACTCTCTCACCTCTCCTCCCACTCTCTCTCACCTCTCCTCCCACTCTCTCACCTCCCCTCCCACTCTCTCACCTCTCCTCCCACTCTCTCACCTCTCCTCCCACTCCCTCACCTCTCCTCCCACTCTCTCTCACCTCTCCCCCCACTCTCTCACCTCCTCCCACTCTCTCTCACCTCTCCCCCCACTCTCTCACCTCCTCCCACTCTCTCCCACCTCCTCCCACTCTCTCACCTCTCCCCCCACTCTCTCACCTCCCCTCCCACTCTCTCCCACCTCCTCCCACTCTCTCACCTCTCCCCCCACTCTCTCTCACCTCTCCTCCACTCTCTCTCACCTCTCCTCCCACTCTCTCTCACCTCTCCCCCCACTCTCTCACCTCTCCCCCCACTCTCTCACCTCTCCCCCCACTCTCTCACCTCTCCTCCCACTCTCTCACCTCCCCTCCCACTCTCTCTCACCTCCCCTCCCACTCTCTCCCACCTCCTCCCACTCTCTCACCTCTCCCCCCACTCTCTCTCACCTCTCCTCCCACTCTCTCTCACCTCTCCTCCCACTCTCTCTCACCTCTCCCCCCACTCTCTCACCTCTCCCCCCCACTCTCTCACCTCTCCTCCCACTCTCTCACCTCCCCTCCCACTCTCTCACCCCCCCTCCCACTCTCTCACCTCCCCTCCCACTCTCTCACCTCTCCCCCCACTCTCTCACCTCTCCTCCCACTCTCTCACCTCTCCCCCCACTCTCTCACCTCTCCCCCCACTCTCTCACCTCTCCCCCCCACTCTCTCACCTCTCCTCCCACTCTCTCACCCTCTCCTCCACTCTCTCACCTCTCCCCCCACTCTCTCTCACCTCTCCTCCCACTCTCTCACCTCCCCTCCCACTCTCTCACCTCTCCGCCCACTCTCTCACCTCTCCCCCCACTCTCTCTCACCTCTCCTCCCACTCTCTCACCTCTCCTCCCACTCTCTCACCTCTCCCCCCACTCTCTCACCTCTCCCCCCACTCTCTCTCACCTCTCCCCCCACTCTCTCACCTCTCCCCCCACTCTCTCACCTCTCCCCCCACTCTCTCTCACCCTCCCCACTCTCTCACCTCTCCTCCCACTCTCTCACCTCTCCTCCCACTCTCACCTCTCCCCCCACTCTCTCACCTCTCCCCCACTCTCTCACCTCTCCCCCACTCTCCTCACCTCTCCCCCCCACTCTCTCACCTCTCCCCCCACTCTCTCACCTCTCCCCCCACTCTCTCACCTCTCCTCCCACTCTCTCTCACCTCTCCTCCCCCACACTCTCACCTCTCCCCCCACTCTCTCTCACCTCTCCCCCACTCTCTCTCACCTCTCCTCCCACTCTCTCACCTCTCCTCCCACACTCTCACCTCTCCTCCCACTCTCTCACCTCTCCCCCACTCTCCACCTCTCCTCCCACTCTCTCCCTCTCTCTCACCTCTCCTCCCACCTCACCTCTCCTCCCACTCTCTCTCACCTCTCCTCCCACTCTCTCTCACCTCTCCTCCCACTCTCTCACCTCTCCCCCCACTCTCTCTCACCTCTCCTCCCACTCTCTCACCTCTCCTCCCACTCTCTCACCTCTCCTCCCACTCTCTCACCTCTCCCCCCACTCTCTCACCTCTCCTCCCACACTCTCACCTCTCCTCCCACACTCCTCACCTCTCCCTCCCACTCTCTCTCACCTCTCCTCCCACTCTCTCTCACCTCTCCTCCCACTCTCTCACCTCTCCCCCCACTCTCTCACCTCTCCCCCCACTCTCTCACCTCTCCTCCCACTCTCTCACCTCTCCTCCCACACTCTCACCTCTCCTCCCACTCTCTCTCACCTCTCCTCCCACTCTCTCTCACCTCTCCTCCCACTCTCTCACCTCTCCCCCCACTCTCTCACCTCTCCTCCCACTCTCTCACCTCTCCCCCCACTCTCTCACCTCTCCTCCCACACTCTCACCTCTCCTCCCACACTCTCACCTCTCCCCCCACTCTCTCACCTCTCCTCCCACTCTCTCACCTCTCCCCCCACTCTCTCACCTCTCCTCCCACTCTCTCTCACCTCTCCTCCCACTCTCTCTCACCTCTCCCCCCACTCCTCTCACCTCTCCCCCCACTCTCTCACCTCCTCCTCCCACACTCTCACCTCTCCTCCCACTCTCTCACCTCTCCTCCCACTCTCTCTCACCTCTCCTCCCACTCTCCGTCACCTCTCTCCCCCCACTCTCTCACCTCTCCTCCCACTCTCTCACCTCTCCCCCCACTCTCTCTCACCTCTCCTCCCACTCTCTATCACCTCCCCTCCCACTCTCACCTCTCCCCCCACTCTCTCTCACCTCTCCTCCCACTCTCTCTACCTCTCCTCCCACTCTCTCTCACCTCTCCTCCCACTCTCTCTCACCTCTCCTCCCACTCTCTCACCTCTCCCCCCACTCTCTCACCTCTCCTCCCACTCTCTCACCTCTCCCCCCACTCTCTCTCACCTCTCCTCCCACTCTCCCTCTCCTCACCTCTCTCCCCCCCCACTCTCTCACCTCTCCTCCCACTCTCTCACCTCTCCCCCACTCTCTCACCTCTCCTCCCACTCTCTCTCACCTCTCCTCCCACTCTCTCTCCCCTCTCCCCCCACTCTCTCACCTCTCCCCCCACTCTCTCACCTCTCCTCCCACACTCTCACCTCTCCTCCCACTCTCTCACCTCTCCTCCCACTCTCTCTCACCTCTCCTCCCACTCTCTCACCTCTCCCCCCACTCTCTCACCTCTCCTCCCACTCTCTCACCTCTCCCCCCACTCTCTCTCACCTCTCCTCCCACTCTCTCACCTCCCTCCCACTCTCACCTCTCCCCCCACTCTCTCTCACCTCTCCTCCCACTCTCTCTCACCTCTCCTCCCACTCTCTCTCACCTCTCCTCCCACTCTCTCTCACCTCTCCTCCCACTCTCTCACCTCTCCCCCCACTCTCTCACCTCTCCTCCCACTCTCTCACCTCTCCCCCCACTCTCTCTCACCTCTCCTCCCACTCTCTCTCACCTCTCCCCCACTCTCTCACCTCTCCTCCCACTCTCTCTCACCTCTCCTCCCACTCTCTCACCTCTCTCCCACTCTCTCTCACCTCTCCTCCCACTCTCTCTCACCTCTCCTCCCACTCTCTCTCACCTCTCCTCCACTCTCTCTCACCTCTCCTCCACTCTCTCTCACCTCTCCTCCCACTCTCTCTCACCTCTCCTCCCACTCTCTCTCACCTCTCCTCCCACTCTCTCACCTCTCCCCCCACTCTCTCACCTCTCCCCCCACTCTCTCACCTCTCCCCCCACTCTCTCACCTCTCCCCCCACTCTCTCACCTCTCCTCCCACTCTCTCTCACCTCTCCTCCCACTCTCTCACCTCTCCTCTTACCTCTCCTACTCATCCCCTCTCTTCTTCCACCTCCCACTCACCTCTCAGCTAGCATCGTCATCATCTTACTACAATGAATAACTCAAAGATGTTCTGATAATCCTAGCGTTAATTTGCTCATTCAAATTTTATGCCATGCTCGTGATCAAATGTTTACAGAAAGATCATCAAGCTTTAATTTATTGCAAAATGCGTTCATCATTGCCATCGCCATTGTCATCAAACTGCCATTGCTTTTAAAGACGACTGTCCATCATTTTGATTGTAGCTTAATCACCAATGGCCACACAAGGGTGAGGAATCGACCATAACCTGGAATATCAATAATGAGTCTGTAGGTCTCGGGGTCTCAATGCGAGTCTTTGGTGACCAGGCTGAAACCGTCACATAGACCCCAGTTTTCAGCACAACTGGGGTCTATGTGAATCAATGGCTATCTATACAAGTCTATGGGGTCTGTATGAGAATAGAGACTATGTGAGTCTGTGGATGTGTGAGTGGATGCACCGATTTTTGGTGACCGGGCTGAAGCCATCAGCTCTCTTGTGTGCTTGAGACCCTGGTTCTGGTTCAACCGCTGTGGTTGTGCGTCCGACACCCGGTGCTGGCTCTGCGTCTTTGACCGCTGACCTCTGAGCCACCCGGCTGCCTCAAACCTCGCCATCGATGGGTTCGAGAGGTCAAATGTCAGAGGGCGCTGGAGCCGGCAGCGCTGAGATCCTGGGTTTGAATCCGGGTTCCCGGCAGCACAGCCTCGGTGGATGAAACCGGCTTCTCAAGTGCAGCGAAGTCGATGATGGTCTCTCCAGTGACTGCACAAACAAAAACAACAAAAAACAAATGCATCGTTTGAAAATCTTGATTGTGCACTCATTTGAGTGCAGCTCTTGAGAATTGAAACATTGGGTTGACTGCCCGTGCGACGAACGTTCTCTCCGCACCAGGCCGGGTGGGAAAGTGCTACCCCAGTAATTTTGAGGCTGTTTTGGAGGAATAGTTCTGTGATATCCGCTTCCGCGGGCCGCTCTCCAACGTAGCGGTCTGCGCTGCTCCGTGAGTGATCAGCGACCCTCATCACGTGACGCCTTGTTCGCCGGACCCACAGAACAAGGGGGGGATGAGATGGGTGAGCGTTTGGTGTGTGTGTCCCCCCACCCCCAACTCGTGTGTGTAGGTAACCTCCGCTAGCCCAGCCTCCCCGGCCGTAGTTGCCGTGGAGTTGGGGGGGCTGCTGGGAGTGGTGCGTCGTCATGGCGATGGGTCCGCTCAGGCGGAGGAGGCGAGGAGCATGCTGGGACACGCCGTTGCCCAGGTAACCTCTCGCCCCCGCCCCCCCACCCCCCCCCCACCCGCTCCTCCTCTATCCACAGGTCGACACATTTTTGTTTCGATTCGATTTTGATATTGACCCCCCCGTCTCGTTTGTATTGCTTTTCAGTCGATTCGTTCATCTCGCTGGTACGGAATCGTCCACGCCACTCGCCCAACTGTGCCGGCTGCGTGTGCATTGTGCCGCATCGTCACCCCGGGGTGGCAAGGTGTCCGTAAAGGTGACCTCGGTAACCAACCACACACACGGTAACGGCAGCCCTCCCGTGGTCACGGTCACCGTGGCGACGCTGTCCCGCTTGCTGTGCTCTAGTTTGCGGAGGACGTGGCCGGCGTGTGGGGAGGGGAGGTGGTGGTGGCGGCGCTTACGGTGGCCACCGCTCCGGAGCCGTCCCTGCGCAGGGCGCGCTCCGTGCTGCAGCTGCGGGAGACGCGGAGCAAGGTGGGGGACGGCACCACCATCAGGCGACACCACGCACCGGCACCGGCACCACCACGCGGCACTTCCACACAGCACCACCACCACACGGCACTTCCACACAGCACCACCACCACACGGCACTTCCACACAGCACCACCACACGGCACTTCCACACAGCACCACCACCACCACACAGCACACAGCACCACCACAACCACACGTCACTTCCACACAACACCAACACCACCACCACCACACAGAACCACCACCACCACACAGCACCACCACCACCACACAGCACCACCACCACCACACAGCACCACCACCACCACACAGCACCACCACCACCACACAGCACCACCACCACCACACAGCACCACCACCACCACACAGCACCACCACCACCACACAGCACCAGCACCACCACACGGCACTTCCACACAGCACCACCACCACCACCACACGGCACTTCCACACAGCACCACCACCACCACACGGCACTTCCACACAGCACCACCACCACCACACGGCACCACCACCACCACACAGCACCACCACCACCACACAGCACCACCACCACCACACAGCACCACCACCACCACACAGCACCACCACCACCACACAGCACCACCACCACCACACGGCACTTCCACACAGCACCACCACCACCACCACCACACGCACTTCCACACAGCACCACCACCACCACACGGCACTTCCACACAGCACCACCACCACCACACAGCACCACCACCACCACACAGCACCACCACCACCACACAGCACCACCACCACCACACAGCACCACCACCACCACACAGCACCAGCACCACCACACGGCACTTCCACACAGCACCACCACCACCACCACCACACGGCACTTCCACACAGCACCACCACCACCACACGGCACTTCCACACAGCACCACCACCACCACACGGCACTTCCACACAGCACCACCACCACCACACAGCACACAGCACCACCACCACCACCACACGTTACTTCCACACAGCACCACCACCACCACACAGCACCACCACCACCACCACACACCACCACCACACAGCACCACCACCACCACACAGCACCACCACCACCACACAGCACCACCACCACCACACAGCACCACCACCACCACACAGCACCACCACCACCACACAGCACCACCACCACCACCACACAGCACCACCACCACCACACAGCACCACCACCACCACACAGCACCACCACCACCACACAGCACCACCACACAGCACCACCACCACCACACAGCACCACCACCACCACCACCACGCGGCGTGCAGCTGGGAGACGAGGCCAACCGGGCGTGGTGCGACGTGTCGGCCTTCATCGGCGTACTTGCCCCAACAACAGTTTGTGTGAAGGCTACAGTGGTGAGGGGGGTAACCCTCTTTGTCCGTGTGCATCAGGTGGACTTGCAGAACCCCTACAACCTGGCGTACCGCTACAACTACAACTACGCCGTGGTCTTCAACATCGTGCTGTGGCTCATGCTGGCCATGGCTCTCGCCATCATCGCCGTCTCCTACGGGATGTGGAACATGGACCCGGGCCGCGACAGCCTCATCTACCGCATGACCAACCAAAGGCTCAAGGCCGATTAGACTCTCTCTCACCCTCTCACCCTCCCACCCCCCGCTCCACCCAGGTGTCTAGTGATGCCCCCCTTTCATAAGCACCATACCCCCCCCCCCTTCTCTTATTACCTCTGTCCCCCATCCAGTCATTCCGCTCCCATCTAGTATTGTCGCACACCTCTCATCAGAGGTCGCAAACGGGTTTTGATTCCTTACCCGTACCCGTACCCGGCCGCACCAGGGTCGCAAACGGGTACCCGTACCCGAGTATTGGGTAGGGTACGGGTATCGGGTAGGGTACGGGTATTGGGTACCCGGTTGCGACCTCTGCCTCTCATTGGTGCCACGTCCCATGTGGCTCTGCTCCATCTTGTTCCACCCCCCTGGGTACTGCCCCCCCCCCACACCTCTGCTACCACCACGCTCAGAGCCCCCCCCCCCCCTCACTGGTGCTGCCCCCTTCCTCTCCATTGGCTGACGATATCACCAACCGACCGTCCGTTCATCGGATGGGCAATCGCCGTGCATTTCGGCAACCATAGTTTTTTTTTTTCCGCGCTCTGATGTAAATTTTTATTTTTTTAATTATTTTTGCGCGGCGTCACTTCCTCTTAAGCCAATCATTGTGATGTCATATCCTGTGTCGTCGACACCCCCTCCCACCCGCCCCCTGCCTCCCCCCACCACCCACACCGAGAGATTTTGTGTTTTGCGTGAATTGCCGAGCGTCGGCCCCTTTGCCCCCCCCCCTCGATCCCTACTCTGGGTTTGTAGTTGTTGTGATTCGTGATCCGCGCACGACGTCATTTCGGTGTTTGTGTCGTCGGCCTTGTGTGGTTCCCGTCCTCTCTCTGATCTTCAGAAACACTCCGTGCTTGCCGTGGGTAGTTGTGTGTTTGCTGTAGATGCAAGTGGTGGCTGCGGCTTGTGCATTCACTCGGCTCCACACCCCCCCCCCACCTCCCCCCGCCTCCCCCAGGTGAATCGTCACCCACTTGCGGGGGTCACAATTTGATTATCGTTTCGGTTTTTACCGTCTCGGTTCCCTCTCGTTTCTAGTTTTGTTCCGTCTCGTTATTCGCCTCTCCTCTCCTCCGTTAGCATGAACGTAACAATTTACTTAGCATTTCGAGAAGGCCTCAATGCCATAGGCGAGGGTGCCACCACCACTCCTCGACGCGCGGCGACCTCCGCCGTCGAGACATCTGTGGAAAAAGCTTTATAGCTCATCAGATTACTCCGGTATAAATAAATACATATTCTGATCTGCTCTTAGGTGTCTTCCCCTCAGTCGCTGGGCCCGTGGAGACGGCCGCTCCCACGCCCGTCTTGGCAATCGGCCTTCTCCCACTCCACCCTGCACACGCGTCCCACCCAGCTAAACACAAATACATCAATCTCGTGATGAGTTCAATAAAGCGGCGTTCATGCAAACTGCGGGCTCACAATCGCTGGGTAGGAACCGCAGGCGAGCTGGAAGGCTGCCAGGTGGCGTGAGCCGACGCTACAGACAACTGCTCTGCGGTTCTATACGTGTTAAGATGGTTTCAGCCAGTTAGTGAGTGTGTGTGCATGTGGGAGGAATCCGCTGTTGCCCGATCTCATCTACAACGAGGCTCCCCATCTGTCACTCCGGCGTCGCTCATCCCGTCTTGCCACGACATTCCCAGCGTCCGTCTCGAACACGCGTCCGTCTCGAACACGCACCGGCCCGTGATGCCCCATCGGCTTGTCTTGGAGCTGCGGAGGCATACATCGTCACGGGGTTCTCGCACGCGCCATCACTCGGATTACTGGTCATTCTCGGCCTACGATTTTTTTTTTGCTGCCACGGTCACGCAAATTGTGAAATTGAAAGGAGAGAAGCCTTGGAGGTGGCTGACTGGATAGATTGAGCACTTCCTTCCAACACGTGCGGTGTCGTCATGTGCTGAAGGGCTTCACGTTGTGCACGGCTCTGCAATGGCCGTGGGGAGAATGGAGCAGTGGGCCTCAACTGGAATATGGCTGACTTTATCCACTTTGGTATAATATATCAGTTTTTACTTTATAATTCACATTTTAACAGATTTTTGTTAAATTAATATATTAAAAAATCATATAAATGTCGCCTGTTTTATGTAAATGATATGCTAATGAACCATTTCATGCGAAACGGATGCGAACAAAACTACAAAATGGGAGCTAAAAATAATCCCAGAAAACTGCAAACGAGACGAAGCAAATCACAACCCCGAATCGTCACGATCGTCCTGGTGTCATGCCCGGAGTGCGAAATCCTCTCCCGCGCGTCTCGGATGCTACTGATGGTGTGTTATTCACGTACTCGCTGAGCAAAATCATAATAATAAAGTGTTTAACCCTCGCGGGCCCGAGTGCAGTGTGTGGCACTGCTTCTGTGTCTGTGTGCTGAGCGTTGGCGCAGTGGTTCGCGTGCTGCGAGACGAACCTGGCGACCCCAGTTCGATTCATGCTTACGGGCCCCCAAGACCAAATACGATTATCGCAACCGGTCTTGCGCCTCCCCTAGGTCGACTCGGCCTTAAATGAGTACGTGGTGCGGTGTGCAAGCATCGTCACTAAGGAAATGGCGTGGTGCTGGCCACCCACCCCCTCGTGTGCCGTGCAGGTCTTCATAGGCGCTCGCTAACAGCACTTGCCGCAAAAGTATGTTAAAGCTATACGGGGGATCTATGTCATGAATGGCTCTGACTCCCAGCCACGCAGCGCGACCCAGACCTGCCCACCACCACGGCCCTGGCCGTCTACGCAGGGTCGATGGTCCCAAAATTCTAAAAGAACAACCCAAAGCTCTGGCCTCTTCTCTTGCATCGAAGGCCTTGACCCGGCCAATAAAGCAGAGATGTAGATCCTGTTAAAATAGTATGTTCTATAACGCGTGTTTTTATAACGCGAATTGGATATAACGCGATGAATGTGTTAGGGAACGCATTTTTTTCATAGCGCGGGTGCGATTTGGATATAACGTGATCGAGTGAACGGAACGACGTCGCGCGAGTAGCAATATGCGGTCGCCTCGGGACAGCGTCATCACACGAGGCAGTGGGATGCTGCTGGATGCTTCTAGATGCTACCCACGTGCCTCCGTCTTTGCTCGGCCTGCGTCTCACGCGTTATCGCGGACTGTGCTTCACCACCTATATTATACATTGTACTGGTAGGAACCTCCTGGTTACACCAGCCCACAGGGGATTATTGTGTCCGTCGTGCAGGGAGGGGCTGGGTGGGGAGGGGAGGGTGGGGAGGGGCTGAATGGGGAGGGGAGGGTGGGGAGGGGCTGGGTGGGGAGGGTGGGGCTGGGTGGGGAGGGTGGGGCTGGGTGGGGAGGGTGGGGCTGGGTGGGGGGTAGGAGGGGTGGGGCTGGGTGGGGAGGGGCTGGTCACCCCGTGGTGCCCTTATAAAACTCAACGTTTAACCTACTCACGCCGACTTGTGCCCGCCCTCACAGTCGGGCATATTTGCGGAATACACCACGCCGCCGTTGACCCTGCAGGCCATTGACCGAGCAACCCAACGTTCCTACCAGCTCCCTCCGCAGGAATGTGTTTATAACGCGATATTTCCATAACGCGGTGTTCTTCAGGAATGCAACTACCGCGTTCTATGAGAACAGACTGTACCGTACATTTGCTGACGGGACACAGAATACCAGGTGCGTGCAGAACCACCCTTGCCTGAAACCATACCAAATCTGCGATCTGGTTCAGATACAATGGGGAGGCTGATTGATGCCTCGGTGTAGTTCAGGAATTCCTGTGCTATGAACCCGGCGACACGGGTTCGATTCCCGCTCACGGTCTGGGGCCTCAGTTGGGTCGACTCAGCCTCAATGAGTACCTGGTGCGGTGTGTAAACATCGCCACTGGGGAGACAAAGGCGGTCGGGCGTGGTGCTGGCCACCCACCCCATCGTGTACCGTTCCGGCCTTCATAGGTGCTCGCTAACAGCATTTGCCCCTACAGCCTGTTAAGGCTACACGGGGGATCTTTGTCTTTGATGTCTGTATGGGGAACGGTAGCGTAGTGGTTGGTGTACGAGCCCGCTCACGACCAGCACCGGTGACGATGATCTGAACCGGTCTTGGGCCTCAGCTGGGTCGACTCAGCCTCAAATGAGTACCTTTTGCGATGTGAAAACATCGCCACCGAGGGAGACAAAGGCGGCCGTGCCGGCCTTCAAAGCCTATACGGGATGGAAATTTGTCTTTGTTTGCACGAGGAGCGGTAGTTTTGCGGTCGAGGCTGTACAAGGCATCTGTGCCTTTAGAGCGATAGGTTAGCGCGCTGCGCTACGAAATGAGTACCTGGTGAGGGGGGGGGGGTAAACATCGCCACCGGGGAGACAAAGGCGGCCGGGCGTGGTGCTGACCACCCACCCCCACATGTGCCGTGGCCGGCTGTCATAATAGGTGCTCGCTAACAGCACTTGCCCCAACAGTCTGTTACGGCTACACGGGTGATCTTTGTTGTGTCTCTGTCTGCCAGGTGTCATTCTCAAGGGCGGCTGCATGAATTTCAATGAACTCCCCCACCCCTCCTCGCCACCCCCCCCCCCCCCCCCCCCCATGGATTTATGTGAAAATGCAAAATCAGTCCCAAAATAATCCCACGCAACCCGACACCCACGCCGGACGGATTATCGTTCTGATCCCGACCTAGGAGCGTGGAATGGCGCGGCCTCCGCGGACATGCGAACTCTGAATTCTCTCAGCGTGTCTCCGTCTTGTCTCCCTGTGACCTTGTTCGCGTGTCTGACTCTCTCGTTTGCTCTCCCCGTCTCTTCCCTGTCTCTCTGCCTCATTGCCTCTCTCTCCTCATCTGTCCTTGTCTCATCCACGTTCCTCCCTCCAGCTCCTCTCTCCACCCTCTCCTCTGCTCCCACTCTCTCCCTTCACACTCTCTCTCTCTTCTTCCTTTCTCTCTCCACGCTCCTCCGCGCGCTCTCTCTCTCTTCAAGGTGATGAGTCACGTCTCAGTCACGCATCGACTCTCCCCACCTCCTCCTCCTCCCTCCTCCTCCAGTGTCTCCCTGTGTCTCTGTGTCTCTGTGTGCCTCCCCGCGTGTCTCTGTGTGTTTCCCAGTGTCTCTCTTTATCTCTGTCTGCTGCCTCCGTGTGTCTCTGTGTCTCTCTGTGCCTCACCGCGTGTCTCTGTGTGTCTCCCAGTGTCTCCCAGTGTCTCTCTTTATCTCTGTCTGCTGCCTCTGTGTGTCTCTGTGTCTCTCTGTGCCTCCTCGCGTGTCTCTGTGTATCTCACAGTGTATCTCTTTATCTTTGTCTGCCTCTGTGTGTCTCTCTGTCTCTCTATGCCTCACCACGTGTCTCTGTGTGTCTCTGTGTGTCTCCCAGTGTCTCTCTTTTTCTCTGTCTGCTGCCTCTGTGTGTCTCTGTGTCTCTCTGTGCCTCACCGCGTGTCTCTGTGTGTCTCCCAGTGTCTCTCTTTATCTCTGTCTGCCTCTGTGTGTCTCTGTGTCTCTCTGTGCCTCCCTGTGTGTCTCTGTGTGTCTCCCAGTGTCTCTCTTTATCTCTGTCTGCTGCCTCTGTGTGTATATCTGTCTCCATTTGTGTCGATGTGTGTCTCCCCATGTGTTTCTGTGTGTCTGTGCATCTCTCTTTAGCTCTAAATGTCTATCCCTGTGCTTCTCTTTGTCTCCCAGTGTCTCTCCGTGTTTCCCTGTGCCACTCTGGGTGTCTGTGTCTCTCTGTGTGTCCACGTTTGTCTCTGTGCATCTCCCGGTGTCTCCCCGTGTGTCTCAGTGTGACTGTGTCTGCTAGTGTCTCCCTGTATCCGTGTCTCCACGTGTGTCTCTCTGTGTCTTTCTGTGCATCTGTGTCTCTACGCGTGTCTAGGTGCCCATTAACAGCAGTTTCCCCAGCAGCCTATGTAGGTTACACGGGCAGTCTTTGCCTTTGTGTTGTGTGTGTGTCTTTGTCTTTGTATATGTGTCCGTGTATGGCATGTGTAGCGGTTAGTGCGCCGCGCTACAAACCTGGCACTGGTGAAGATTATCTGAACCGGTCCTGGGCCTCCCCCAGATCGACACAGCCTCAAATGAGTACCTGGTGCGTTGTGTAAAAACATCGCCACTGGGGAGACAAAGGCGGTCGGGCGTAGTGCTGGCCACCCACCTCCTCGTGTGCCGTGCCAGCCTTCATAGGTGCTCGCTAACAGCACTTGCCCCAACAGTCTGTTTTAGGCTATACGGGGGATCTTTGTCTAACTGTCAATAACACTTGTTCTGATATTGTATAAATCTACAATTATATGAATATCAACGATATCTATTCCACATCTCCGTTGAATAAAATGACGTCTCGTATCTGCAGGCTCTTACCTGTTCTTATAGACGGGGAAATCTTTGACTTAAGGGTTTGCCTGATCATGTAGATGCTGTCGATTTTAAAATCCTACATATGTGTCCTCTGCGTCATTGCAATTCAACAAACCCATAATAAAATATACAAGTATGTGCCAGCCTTCATAGGTGCTCGCTTACAGCACTTGCTTCTACAGTCTGTTAGGGATATACGGGGATCTTTGTCTTTGTATTTGTGTCTTTGTCTATGTGTCTCTCTACGAGTTTGAGTGTGTATCTTGACGCCTGCACATGTGTGTGTATGTCTTTGGGGAGCGTGTTTGTGCGTATGTATCTGTGTGTATGTGTGTATGTGTCTGTGTGTATGTGTCAGTGTGTATGTGTCAGTGTGTCTGTGCGTATGTGTCTGTGTGTATGTGTCAGTGTGTCTGTGTGTATGTGTCTGTGTGTATGTGTCTTTGGGGAGCGTGTCTGTGCGTATGTGTCTGTGTGTATGTGTCTGTGTCAGTGTGTATGTGTCAGTGTGCGGCTGTGTGTATGTGTCAGTCTGTATGTGTGTATGTATGTGTCAGTCTGTATGTGTCTGTGTGTATGTGTCAGTGTGTCTGTGTGTATGTGTATGTGTCAGTGTGTCTGTGTGTGGCTGAGGGAGTGTGGCGTTTGTGCACAGACTGCCCTATATGACATCATAACAACAGTCTGGACCACTGGACGGGTTCCGCAGGACTGGAAGGATGCCCTGGTGGTCCCCCTCTTTAAGAAGGGGGACCGCACAGACTGTAACAACTACAGGGGCATCTCACTCCTCAGTGTGCCGGGTAAGGTCCTGGCAAGGATTATTCAACATCGCCTTGCTAGGCACGCTGAGGAGGGGCTTGCGGAGCCCCAATGCGGTTTCAGGAAAGGGCGGTCCTGCACAGATGCCATATTTTCTGTCCGTCTGCTACAGCAGAGGTGTAGGGAATTCCAAAAAGACCTACATCTCTGCTTTATTGACCTGGTCAAGGCCTATGATACCATCAGTAGGAC